TGTTTTTCGGGCTCCAACGCTCACACAGATACACAGGCACACAGGACACAGGCACTCTCTCTTACCTGTAATAATGGCGAAACAATAAAATTGCCGGCGGAAAAGTTTTTCGCTTCGAAATTTCAATGGCAAAATCAAATGGACAAAATGTAAATGAAAATGCTTTTAAAATGAAATTTACCGTTACCCAAGCGCTTCATTGTTGCGCAGCAAGGACCTCTCCCTTTCTCTCTCTCTCTCTCCTCCTCACCGTTTCTCTATGGCTCCAAATGGCATTTTTGGAGCGGCACCTAAACGGAAATGAAATTAAGCACAAAATGTGCCATTTGCCAGCTGGCAGTGGTTGTTACTTCAGCTTCAGTTTCAGCCATTACTTTCGCCCGGGCAGCAGTAATTGAAAAGTTGGTAGTAGGCAATAGGAGCCACTTTGGGTCAAAAGGAGGCACAGGCTCAGGTTTGTTTTGGTTTTTTTTTTTTTTCATTCTTATTTTAATCAGATTTGTGCGGAATGCTATTAACCCTTCAGTTGGGAGATTAAATGCTTTGTCTAAAGACAAAACTAAATGGGGAAAACTGAAAAATTAGTAGCAATTAAGGCTTCTTCTTGTATATAAATATTTTTCTCTTATTTATTTCTGCATTCTGTCAGGTCTCTACCTTTATTTTTCCCTTTTTTCACACTTTAAACCACACTCCAGGAGTGTCTGTATTTTCTTGCAGTAAATAGTCGCCACTCCGGTTGATGTACGAGATCACTCACAGCCTCCCACAGAAAAATACAACAAAATAAAATAAAAGGACCTGCAATTCCCCGAGCCATGTTCGTACATCTCCCACAGCATATGGTACTTCATAATTTTGATGGTCCAACGAAAAAGTTTGTTTTCCATCTGCTCGAAAAGGAACAACACACAAGTCACACACTCAGATACTACACAGGCACTTTTCCAGTGGCCGCCAGTAGGAAAAACTTCATGTCCTATAAAATATGGCCAGTTGATGGGTGATTTTTATACACTTATATGTACACAACTTGTGGCATTTTCCCTTTTGCTTACATTATTTGATTAGCTATATTTAATGAAATTGTCATAGTTAGACTGGGACATATGTATGTACATCATAATTCTGTGGTAAACTTAGAAGCAAGTTGGATAATGAGGGAATCCCGGACAATAAGAAGAACTTTATGCTAACTTTATCAAACTCCCGGGAGCTTTGCCCCATCAATTCATCGCGGGGCATTGGAGGAAAAGTACGTAATTGCATTGGCCGCAAGAAAGGAAATCATTAATGACATACCGCTGCGGTAGGTGGGTGAGGGGGAACAGGACCAAGGCATCCTTGCAGCGTATATTTTATGAACAATTCACGCTTTTCTTGCCCTCGAACAAAGTTTAGTGGTAGAAGTAGAAGTAGAAGTGCAAGTGCAAGTGCGAGGAAGAAATTAAGCTGAACAATATATTTTCTTCGGCGTTGCAGTGCCAGCATTTCGCCCAGCTGCCACTCCCACTTTTCCAGCGCCTGCTCGCTCTTATTAGCAGCATCCTTGTTTGCCTTTTTACCCATTTTTTTTTAGTTCGCTCTTCTTTTTCGCGCTTCTGTTGTGGTTATGCCTGTCGTTGTTGCTGTTGTGTAGGCGCTTACACTGTGAGAAAAATGTGCCAGAAATGATTTATATTGAAATAGGTATTATAAGTATTCTTATAGATTTTTAAAAATATTTTTGTAAAAATATCTTGAAGGAATTATTCAAATTTAAGGAAATAAACCACAAAGCCAGCCAATATTACAATTTATATATATTTAAACTTTTATTTAAATTTAACTAAACCAAATTTTGTATAAGAATTTAAGTTCTGAATTTATTAATAATTTTTTTTCTCTGTACACTTAACCATTGAAGCGTTTTGGCCGCGCAGCAACAAAGCGCGAATTACCGCCATTTTGTGCACTTTGAACGCCATGTTGCCGTTTTTATCGCTGCGCTCCTTCTCATCCTGGCTGGTCCGTCCTTCTGCATCCTCCCCCCTGGGGGGGAGCGCACACAGACCTCTTGTCATTGCAGCTGCCAAGTAATTTCCCAGCGCCAAAGCTGGCGCCAAAGAGTGCCTTGCGCGTCTCATTGAGGCGGGTAATTGATTTATGTATTTATACTGATTTTTTAATTAATTTATAAGCTTTGCTGGGGAATGGAAGAGAAAAGCGGAAAGAGCGGGAAGCCCAAAATGATATTTAATGGCAAAGTGCGTAAATCAATTGGCGATGGATGCCTGCTGTAATAATAATAACCTTTTTGCCAGTGCCTCTTATTACGGCCAACTATTTCTATAGATCGTAAATCAGCGCCAGAGGGCAAGTGTCCACAGTAAGTGGGAATATTTAATTAATGATTTCCAAGACTGAATGCAGTAAGCTGGGCTAGTAATTGAATTGCAGCTCTTTTTAGTTTGTTAAATTATGACAGTGAGTGGGTATTTTATGAGATTTCAAAAATTGGATTAACAAATGAAATTATTTGGAAGCCAGGAGATTTTTTACGATTTTTAAAAATCTAAATATATATGATCTTTGTTAAAAATAATGTTTTTATACATTTTAACCTTAAAAGCTAGACCATGAAAGTGTTTTTATTTGTGTAAAAAATATATAAACAAAAATCTGTTGCAACTGTAAATAAAGTTTACCAGAGCACCCTTTGGAGCCCTTGTTAAAAGGTTTTCAATTCGTTGGCCATTTCTGTTACCCCCTAGGATTTTCGATTTATTTTTTTCGAAGGTCCTGTCTTAACAATATTTCAACCGCAACTGTGTGCGGGGGCGTGGCACATAGGCTGTACGTCCCCTCTTTATTAGCAATACAAATGCAAACAAACTGCTGGCCGCAAACTCAAACACACACACACACGTACACACACACACAAAACTCAATTCGTGAGTGCATTTCCGGTGGGAGATTGGGGGCTACGAGCGCGTATGTTAATCCTTGTTGTCCTGCTGAAGTTGTCCTTGTCGTTGTATTGCGTGCATATGAAAATTAAAATTGTTGACAATTGTCATTTTTTTTCGCAATTTGCTGTTGTTGTCATTGTGTTGTCAGCGTTGTTACCGCGGTTGTTGTGGCACTGCCGCCGCCGCCGCCTCCATGCCCCCCCTGCCACCCCTTATTTTGCTGCTACTGCTGCTGCCACACGCAACTAACCGCATTTTGATTGCCATGCATTCGACCGAATCGTGCTCGTTGCTAAATTGAAAGCATTTTCCGTGCCGTGAATCTCGGCTACAAAAAAAAAAAAAAACACGTATATTTTCGCAGAAACCGGAGAAAGAACGGAAGTTGTCGCTGGCATGTTGCATGCGTGGTCTGCATCGCCCAGTTGCCACGCCCCCTTTGGATTGGATTCCCAGGATCCTCGGTACTCCTCCTTGGTCTCATATTTTCCCCGCAATGCCAGCAGGCTGAATGCGATTTGTTTGCTTGCTCAGCTTATAGCGCAGCAGAAGAGCTCATCCCGTGGCGCCGCAGAGTGTAAAAGTGCATTAAAATGGGTTATCCTGTGGGTGACAACCATCCAATCAAACGGAATATATGCCATATATGCAAGCACTCGGAAAAAGAAACTAAAGAAATGGATATTTTTGAAGTTAGAGTTTACCCAGACTAAGATCTTAATAAAATATATCAAGAATAGTTCTTCTTTTGTCACATTTTAAACTAATTTTGAGCTTAATAATATCCATATTTTATGAAGCTAAAAATATTTCACTGTGCACAAGTCTAGACCTCTTCCTTGGCCCCAAACTCAATTGATTTGCTAATGCTCCGGAGGTGCTAAGACCAGAATCAGGCTTAATTAAGTTTTTGTGTTAGTCTGTCGCTGCTGGTAGAGTGAACATCCTTGCGGCATCTTGTTGCTGTGTATCGTGCGTGTATCCTGCAACTAGCAGATACCAAGGCACCAACTCCATGCTTCGTGGCAGCTGTCAGACGGAAATCTCCTCAAGTTCATCGAGCCACACAATAACATAATTATTCAATTACACGAGCTTGCTCCTTGATTTGGCTGAGCTTTGGGTTTGGATTAGGTGCTTTAAAAATAATACATAAAAAACCCGAATGTAATCGGTTTTGCCAAAATCAACAAGCTAGAGAGCGACTAATGCAATTACAGGAATTCAGGCGTATGCAGGATATTTTTCCTCCCGGAAAAAAGAAGGCAAACTCTTGGCGAAATTGTGAATGGCAAACCAACATTTGCACAGGCCATAAATTCCCAACATTTGCCAATGCCAATAAGTTGGGGCCGTCGATGCCGTAGCTCCTAAAGTTTTACATTGGTAACCGAAAAATATGCAAAGCAGTCATAATTTTACTTTAGAACCGAAATATTTTCGAACGAAATTGTTAGCAAACAAACTTTTTTATGCATCAACTAATTTCAATCAGCTAACAAAAATGTGGCTCCCGCTGAAGCTGAAGCTGCCCTTTTCCCGCAACCGCAAAGCGAGAGACTGAGATGGAGGATTGAGGGAAAAGCGCCGAAAACAAACGGAAAACTTTTGTCAATAATGCCGACGACGACGAAGACTACGTTGTTGTGGCTGCTGTTGTTCCTGGGAATCTGCTGCCGCTCCAGCTCCTCTAGCCGCCGCCTTTCCTTACTCTAGTTGCCATCGCCGCCAATGTCTCAAATCCCAACTGATTGCGCTGAGTGGCAGTGACAGTCCGGGGGAATGGCGCTCAAGGGTGTAGCCTGCTTCTGGTCCTAGTCCTGGTGATCCGGTGCACCTGCCCAGGGCAAAGTCATTATCGCAATCAACTTCAAAGGCGCTGAAAAAGCAGTAGAAATACGTCAAAAAGTTGAAAGAAATGTTACCAAAATGTATAGATAACCTAAAAATAGGAATTATTTATGGAAAAGTACAGTTGTGCAAAGTCATTGGCGCATGTGCGATAGGCAGCTATCGATGTATGGTATTTCATCCTAATTATTTTCAAACAAGCTTACATGTCATAATTGTGTCACCTCTAGGCACAAGTTAAAGCATTTTCACTACTGTCATTCTTAGGAAAATTATCTTCTAACTGGATTATATTAAAATGGGCAAGTACGTAAACTTTCAATCGCCGAGGGGACGCCGCTACATTTATTTAGATGATGACAATCAAAGCAATGAAAGTTCCGATATAATCAATCTGAGATATGTCTTGAGGAGCATACAGCGCCCTCGACTATTCTTCACTATGAGTTCGGAACGTCTTCAAAGAGCTATGCTGGTAGCCAACAACATTCGTGGAAGAATTTACTCATTTAACTTATCTCGTCTAATTGTGGGTTCTTCAAATTCTTGGCCTGACGGTAGTCCAAGGTAAAACTTTTCCCAATGAAATATATAAAGAAACCCTCTTAATAAATACTCCATATTTTCTTCAATGCTTGTCAAATTGGAAACATCAGGACAAATCACAGTTCTTCCCAACATTAAAATGGAGGTATGTAGGTCTAAAATTTCAGAATTTTGAATAAGAGTTCAATAGTATTACTCCCATTTCTCCGTATTTCTCTACAGAATATGTCACTATGCACCTTTGCACATCAGCTGAGCCGCCAAAGGACCAAACCGCAATATGAAGCAGGTCGTGACAGAAAGTGAGGGTCTATTTTCCAATTTTATAAAAAAAAGTTACTAACCTAAACAATTATTACATGTAGATACATTTATGCAAGTCCTTTTGCGCTTTAATTGTTTACTATTGGCTAATAACCTGGCGATATCAAGGAGACTTTGTGGATATGTAAAAGAAGTCAAGAAATAAACATTATAATTTTCACATTCATTGTTATGATCGCTTTATTTCTACTTAACTTGGCTTATTCTAATTTATTCAGCTAAAGCTTCGCTTTCTCTTTGGAGTATTAACCTGATTTCCTGCTCACCTGCCAGAGAGGCTTCACCTTGGCTAATACATTAATTAACTTTACCTTCCCCATCCCATCCATTGTGTTCGAATGCCACTTATTCGTGGGCTTATCACTGAGCCGAGCGGAGGGTGGTCGGGGCCAAAAAAAAAAAAACACCAGGAACTTGGCCCTATTCACAACAAAAATGGGCGCGCAAAACTTTTAATGAGCTAACGCCGCTGATTCAGCGTTCTAATTAACATTTAACGAGCATTTCGTTCGACTTGCATGGCAAAATGGGACTCAATATGGCCTTGCCTTGCGAATGGAGGAGCAACAGATATCAGATACCAGTGCTCCTGGGAATAATTCAATTTTCGGCAGCCATTTTCTGCAATTTATGAGAGTCTATTTTGTTTAGAAAATTATTTATTTGATTTGAAATGGTTGAGGTATTGTATTGAGACATATTATGCCATTGGGAAGTAGTACTCTCAATAAGATGGAACTTTGGGTAATATATCCTAATTTAGCTATAAAATATTATTTTTTTAAATTTAAAATATATGGGAAAGTGTTTAAAGTCTGTGATATAGATTAAAGATATATATATTTTTAACTTGATTATAATTTATAAAGTATTTTATGACAGTTCTTTAATATCTTCTACAGAATAAGTAACAATTTCTTTGTCCAATTATTTTATTAATTTTTATTTGAAAAAGTATTCCCTTACTTATTTACTAACTAACGGCCCCTAAGTTAGTTGTAATTTATTCAAAGAAAACATAAATTAACAAGATTAAATATGTTTTATTCTATAATTAATGAGAAAACTTTTACTTGTCATAGATTCCCGATGGCTTTGCCTCCACAAAGCGAGTAAACTTAAGTTTAAAATTCCCTAAAATTTTTTATTTATATAAACGAATAAATATTTACACATATTTTAATCTTAAAAATCATTTTTACACACCCAGTAAATAGATTTACCGCCACAAATTACGTATACGCCTGTTGTGCGAACTAAAATCGTGAGACAATGTATTTATAACGCCACCTAGAAATCTTGAGTAAAATACATCCAAGAGCTTTGTTGCCGCCAAAGCTGTGGCACGAACTTTGAAAGTTCACTGGCTATAGTCAACCCCCAGAATCGGGGCAACTCTACAATAAACCAAAACATATGGCCTGCAGGCTGCACAAAGCTGCTGCTGAGCGAAGTTGCCGTGGCGGTGTGTTTCTCAGTTCGCTCGCGCTCTGGCTTTGGGAACGTTGTTTTCTGGACCTCAAAAGGACCTGGCTCCGTGCTGGGAGTACAGCCAACCAAATATATATATATATAAACATATATATACATTAATGGTGAAGTGGGCAAAAGTGTGACAAACAGAACGGAAAGTTAGCATACTTTTATGAGCTGCGATTTGGCCGAGTCGCGAGTTCAAGCCCAGGATAGCAAGCGGTACTGTGAACTGTGAAAATGTGACCCAATTGGAAAGGGCGAAAAACGATTTTGTGCCAGTTATATGTCCATATATATATATAGCACACAACATATATGTGTGCCGCCCGAGCCTAAGTACATCCGTCAATACAAAGAGGTAATCCCTAAACCGATATTGTGGGCGCGGTGAAGTTGTTTAGCAAACACACATAAATTAATAATCAACGTTTCTGCCCTCGGGCAAAAAGTATCGGTTATGCGAGTGTGTCTCTTTCTCTGTGTGTGTGCGTGTGTGTGAGTGTGTTTGGGTGTGCGTGTGTTTGTTTTACTTGCTGTGGCAGAGCTGCAAAAAAAAGTTCAATCGCTGAAACTTCAGGCAAACAGCCCGAAAGGCTTCTGCTCCTGCTGCCGCTGCTCTTTTTCCGAGGCACAGCTGATTGGCGAAACCCTTGAGCCGAACATGTTGGCTTGTTTGGTTTGAAGCTCAGTAAATCCTGTCCCCACTCCCCGCATCCTGTGTGTGTGTGGGGGGGAGGGAGGCGGTAAGAGCTCAACTTTACGGTCCTACGACTCCAGAGCACGCAGCGCAGCGTGCACACGTAATAAAGCCATAATCAAAGGTAACCCGGGACAACGTAGCGTATGCGTGTTCCCCGGTGGTCCGCCGAGTGACCACTTTCTGGCTGCCACGACACGCGCCCAGCCAAAGGGGACTCGGGGATAAAGCGACAATTTTACAAGTTGCAACGGTCTCAGAATTTAAGAGAAACATTTCAATGTGCTAATGTACTACACTGCATAACATCTTTTAACTAAGATGCCATAATTAAGAGCTTGTGGATTTCTTTTACTTTTTTCTTATTTTCTTGTTCTTATTAATTCTAAAAATAAATGAAAAACCTTATAATACACTATTACCCTTTCACTTTGCTATTTGTACAAGTCTTTTGTACATTCTTAAGCCCTTTTTGAGCTAGTAATTAAAGCAGTTCCATTAGCCCTTGCAAGTATAAACCCTCTCCAGATGATTCCCACACAATATCTCATTCCAAAGTCAACAATTTATTTGTAGTTAGCCATTTGGTAGATATTTTTTGGATTGGAAACCATTACCTGTTCCAAAAACATATTCTTTTTAGCCAGAAACCCATTCAAAAGCAAGTTCAAAACAAGTTTATATACATTTTCCTAAATCTTAACTCATAAATTATAGTTTATTGATATTTTCAAATATTTTTCTCACTGCATTTTCCGTTGTATCAAATTCAAAGTTAACAAATAAAGTGAAAGTCCTCCCCCTCATCGTATGGCGAATTTCTCAATTTCAGATGACATTTGTGGCCGGCGGGCACCATATGCACATATTTGGCGCTCAAAGGCGCTCCCCTTCTCCTACTCCCCCTCCAATTCCTGTGGGAGCAACACCTATTTATGGAGCACAAGTGGTTATCCGAAATGCTTGTTCTTATTCTGGTGCCCCGTTCCCCTCGAACAGTTGCGGCCACACTTTGGCACTCAGCACTCCACACCACAAACATCGACAGATGGAGGGGAGCGCACTTCAATGTGTTTTCACTCATATCTGGTTTTCCGGTAGCATCGTATTTATTTTCCACTTTAATGGAAAACATATGCCGCAACGCAGGGCTTTCCCGGAAAATAGTACAAAGGTATGAGGAATGGATCGCTTCGATCTGGCAGATTTCCCTTACACATCACCGCCGCAGCTTAATTGTTTCTAATTGCATGTGTAATTTAATTAAGGCAATTGCACGGCTCACCTTGAACCGCCGCCACTAGTGGCTCATCAGTGATGATGGTGGTGGTGGCCCAGTGTGCAAACGTAATTCAATATGCTCCGCCGATGATTGCAATTGCGTTGCTTTCTGCTGTCTCGTCTCGAATGTATCTGTTACGTGGAAATTGGCAATCGATAAAGGCAACCGGAGCTGGAGCCGGGATTTGATTGCATTTGCTTCACGGCCCATTGCCATGGCCACAATATACCATTGTGTTAACAATAACAACGAAGAGGCGGAGGAGGCTTCTCTGGGCCAACTTGATTGGCGGCCATCGTCGGATCGGTTAACAAGGGTAGCCCTCCCTTTATTGCCGCAAGTCAGGCGACATTGCCAACCTTTTTACATGGCCTTTACTCGTTTCACACTAAATTATTCATTCCGGTGAAATCAATCAAATCAACATACTTAGGGGGTAACTCTTCGTTATAAAAGTGTTCAGTGAAAATCTTAGATTTAATATTGGTGTAAAACCAGTAAGGATTTTCTACAGAAACAAGGTCAAGTCGAGGTTAAAACTGTTAAATATTAAATAATAAAATACTGATATCATACTTTTCCCCCTTAAGATATAAGAATTTCAATGCTTATAAATAACAAATCTTTTTGTGAACTTTAGAAAATAGCTACGCTTCCTAATATAAATCTCACCCACTCCACTTTGAGGCATATTTCATCTTTAAAATCCCATTTGTAATAGAAACTCTAGACTCTTAAACAAACTGCCACCATAAATCCATTTGTAATACCCTATTTTGAATGATTTCAGGAATAATGAAGCTCTCTGACACCATGGCGACGCCAATAGAAGAAAAACTTGATCAAAACCTAAAGGTAAGCTAAAAATAAAAACCATCTAGAATATATGGGAATCAAAATATACCTTACAGGTGCGCACTGGCATGGTCCATGTGAGCGATGGCAAGAGCAGACCCGAGCCCCTGCGTCTCAATCTCACCATGGAGTTACTCTCACTCCAGAAACTGGAAGTGGTAACCCCAACTAGTTGCAATCCCAATGGACCGCCCATGGAATCAAAGGTAATATATATCATAATTCATATACAATAATTCTGAATAATTTAACAATAAACCTATTGTAGGAACGCATGGTTCAAATAACCCGCCAAAAGCAAGGCGGCCTAGGACTGAGCATAAAAGGTGGTGCCGAACACAAGCTACCTATATTAATATCACGAATCTATAAGGATCAGGCGGCTGATATAACGGGTCAGCTGTTTGTGGGCGATGCCATCATCAAGGTTAATGGCGAGTACATCACAGCCTGTCCCCATGATGATGCCGTGAATATACTAAGAAATGCCGGAGATATAGTTGTGCTAACGGTGAAGCACTATCGAGCTGCCACGCCCTTCCTTCAGAAGCAATGTAAGTTTAGGGGAGAGTGGAGTTAATACCATAAATATTTAATTAACATTGTTTATTTTGGGTAAATTTTAGTAACCAAAGACACGCCCGACTCTGACAACGATGCTACATGCGCTGAACTGAAGGCTGACGAGGGCTACAAGTCCTCCGTCAATAGTGGAACCATTAGTCGCAGCTGCAGTCGTCCCATGTCCATATGCTCGGAACCTGAGAAAAGATGGACCGATGTGGTGGCAGGTAAGAAGGAAGAAGGTCTAAAATAATATTATTAAAAGTATAGTTTTAGCTTTTTTAATACCGTTTTCAGTTTTGTTAATTAATTTAGCATTTCTTAAAGTAAATATCCCTCTTTAATTAAAAATTTTTCTTACCTTTTAGTACCTCTAATGATGGCCTATGTGACAAGATACATTTATGGCACCGATAAGCTGCGACAAAATGCCTTTGAAGTTCGTGGCCTGAATGGTATTACCACTGGAGTCATACACTGCGATGAACTGGCCATACTTAGTCAGTGGCTCAAGTTGATAACAGATAATGTGGTGGGCCTGACGCATTTACAGGTACAAAGTCCATTTCAAATAAAAGGTTTTCCCTAATTAAAATATATTTTTTATCTTTACAGATGAAACTGTACAACAGAAACTTTGCTGTGGGCGAACGAATCGAGTACATGGGCTGGGTGAATGAGGGCGTCATTAACAACAATATATCTTGGCAGAGTTATAAACCCCGATTTCTGCTGCTCAAAGGAACCGAAGTAATGCTCTTTGAAACGCCTCCAGTAAGTTGGGAAGTAAAAAAAAACCTTATATAATCTAAAAAACAATTTCTTTATTTATTTATAGCTCAATGTAGCTGGCATCAGCAAGGCCTTGGTGGTCTACAAGGTTTATCAAACCATGTTCCGTATTGTCAAGGAATCGGAGACTGTGGATAGCCGCCAGCATTGCTTTCTACTTCAAAGCTCTGGTCACGAACCCCGCTACTTGAGCGTGGAAACCCGACAGGAGCTCTTGAGGATCGAGAATAGCTGGAATGCGGCTATCGTGACCAGTGTTATTAAATTGGGCGTGAGTTGTAGCCATTAAGCCTTAAATACAGGTGACTTAATTCAATCTTATTCTCAGCGCAAAACATTTGCCGTTTCGCATCATGGCAAGAGTGGCGGTCTTACGTTGGATTGGCAGGCTGGATTTTCCCTGGCCGAAGGTGCCGACTCTGCCATTGTTTGGCAATATAAATTCTCACAGCTGAGAGGCTCCAGTGACGATGGCAAGTCCAAGCTGAAGCTGCATTTTCAAGATCACGATAGTCGGGCTATAGAGACAAAGGTAAGGAAAACCTCCTTGATTTTATGAGAAGCTTAATCAAATTTTTCTCCTACTTTACAGGAACTGGAATGCCAAGTCCTGCAGAGCCTGCTCTTCTGCATGCATGCCTTCCTTACGGCCAAGGTGGCCTCGGTGGATCCTGCATTTTTGAGCTCAATACAGCAGACCTAAGTCGGATTACGGGTCTCATAAACACACACACACAAAGGATATAGATAGATATTCGTAAAGTGCATAGCAAATAACTCGAATATGAATGTTGGACTAGGTATCTCATACTTTATGTCGTCGGCCTGTACTTATTATAAACAAGTGCGCGTATATATGTTGATCTGAATGATTGTAATTGGATACTGATACGGATATGGATATATTTATAGCGCTGATAAAACTGAAAGTGAAATCTCTTGGTGCATTACAGTAATTTTTAAGCGTACATAAGGCAATTACTTTAGGCATTTTTCCTATTACGTAGACTTGGTACTAAATAATTGATAACAAATTCATATATATAGTACATATATTGTTTATAACCGATTGTTTCCCAATGTAGCCTTTATATAGTTGAATTACCTATCTTACGTACGGTCTGCCGATTCGCTTTTGCTATGAGCCAAAAGAAGGGCTTCTGATGAGGGGCCTCAAAGGCTTTATTCCGTGCTGTATCCCCTAGATATATATATATATATTTCCCCAAAAGGTTTAACGAAAAATTTTATCGAATTATGAAAACCAGTTTTGTGTGCGCTCTAATGAAAATTTAATTTTCGAAAAAAGATAAACGAATGCTTTAAGAACGGATTAAATGTTATTTTCTACTGAGGTAATAGCTGATATCATATAATAGATATATACTTTATAATATATATATATATATAACATCCACCGAACAAATCTCAATGCACAGACGTAATATGAATTAGATTTTATAACTGTTATACATTTAACCAAAGTCAGTTAAGAGATTCCATCGGACACTCACATAGGTCATTAGATCATTTGTCAATTCAGAAAGTGTCTTTCAGTGGCGAGATCGTATTTGTTGCTTAAGCGAACAGCATTGTATGTATGGGTTTTAAGCGTTATTGCACAACATATACATCTACATATAGCATATGGATTAGTTAGCGAATCATCAACGAGCACCAAATAGCATCCATGCATCCAGGAATATCAAGTTGGCGCATTCCCTGCCCGCAAATACTCGTAACCGCGCAAGGAACAGAATATCTCAAAAGTAAAGCTGCTCAGGCAGAGCTCCAAAGAGCTCATAATACTGCCAAGTGCTCTGTCTGAGCATCTTTGCTGTACAATTATGAAACTATATATATATATCCCGTATACCAAAGCAGCAGAATCAGAATCAAAAATATTTACTGTACATACGCTAAGCTCTATTGGTATAACATAATTTAGCAATAGTCGCAAACCATGTTCACACCAAAGAAATCAAAAAACTAGATGCACCCTAATCGCAACCTTAACCCAAAACCCGACCAACATACGTAATCTGCATACACCCCAACATGTTATACGAGTATCAATTACCGGGGTCAGAGTTAGACCTCTCACATCGGAACTAATCATACATAACATACATATATTTTTAATGCAAAAAGCTTACATAGTGCCGTACGGAAGAAGTTCGCCCCATACCAAATATATATGCGATATGTAATATGTATCCCGAACTAAGAATACTTACTCAAAAGCTGCGATTCTGTGAGAGAGAGTTCAATATTTATCCGGAACTGCGCTACTTGATACAAATCATCGAAATGGAAACCATATGAGTTGCTTTTGTTACGATTCCCTCTTTACTTTTATACGTTAATAATTGAAATAATTGTACAAGAAAACCAAAGCATACAAATTGGAATAAAAACCGGAATATCTAATCAAGAAATTTTTGGAATTATTAAATATGTTTTGGAGATGGCAAGGTTGGGACGCGTTTTGATAAAAGTAGGTAAAATTACTATCGGGACTCAATGGGAAATTTAATCGAGAGAACGTCTCAAATCGCGAGAACGGTTTTGGCTCTCTTGAGGTCGCTTGGCTCTCTGTGGTTCTCTTTTACACTTAGTAGCGAACGAGAGAGTTTTCTTTACAGCAATCAGAGAGAGAGACGTGTTTCAATAAGCCCATTATAAAAATTAGTTCTCCTGAAAATTAAATAGTTGAAATCCCGTTAAACAACCTCCTTAATTTTGAGTAACTCAAAGTATAATAATTTATTTCAACAAATTGAAGCAGAACTCATGGCTGTTAGTTCTGCTTCAGCGTGAAAGAAACTCTTAAAATAATTACAAAATATCATAAATCTATATACATAAACAATTTTTGAATTGGGAATGCTTTGTAACTCCCAATTGATTGCTTAAAATGGCTGCTTTAGGCAATCAATAGCAGTTGGCTGGACGGGGGGGTAAATAAGTCTAGAACAAACCTTGGCATCTGACAAAATCCCCTCATGGCTGTCTGAGGGGATTTTGGAGTACAACTGTGGCAGCTTTCTATGCTTCAGTTCCGTAAGACATATCCTATAACGTGTTTAAAGCTTTTACATCATTGATTCTTGTGTATGTACAGATTCTATGCCCAATTTAAACCAATTTGAGCTACGATCGTGTGGTTAATTCCATTGGCACATGCAAACATTCTTTGGAGGATTTCTTAGGTGGTTTAAATGACGGCTGGCTTTCCGTTCTAATGGATTTTGGTATTATCTACACAGCATTGTATATATATAACTGCTATATAACTGGCATTAACCATACAAACTACAAGCTAATCTTAACTTAGGACTTATGGCTTGACGCTGTTCTCTGTCTCTTTGGTTTTTTCCTCTTCCGGTGCCGAAACCTAAGTACGTTGTTTGCGAAATTAGCCGATCCTCCGGGATCTTGCTTTCCTAATGTCAAAAAATCAAAAATGCTACCTTCCTCGCGCAATGCCACAAGTACGTGAACGTGAGTTGTTGGTAAATTTCCAAATCTAAACGTAGTAAATTTGAAAACGAGCAATAGGTCGAGCTCAGACATCGACGGGCTCCTTGGCGGTTTCCGTATCGGTCAATCGCACCACGGTCACCTCGGTGGTGACCCCATTCAGCACCATTTGCATCGACTGTTGATCGCGCCAGGGCGTAGTCAAAGTGGTCAACCTTTGCCGCAGACTTCCAGGCGTGGAAAGCAGCTTAAATATGGCCACCGTCGGAATCATCACAACCGACGAACCGGCTATGCACCAGCCCAGCGCATTGGCCCAACTGGGATACACGTAATCCGCATATGTCAAGGGTTCATAGCCAATCAAGCCATAGACCGTGATGAAGAGCAGGAAAATGGGAGCCACAAAGCGCCAGCACACCTGCCAGTACCTTCCCGGTGGGAAGCCAATCATGTCTCTAATATCCTCACTGAAACGATTTGTTCCATAGATCCAGGACACGGCGATGGCCTCGAAAAACACGGCCACCAGAATGGAGTAGCCGGCAGCATAGCGATCCAGCAGATGGAAAAAGTAGAAACCTCCCTGAGTGCAACTGGCCAGTCCAACCACAAAGTAGAGGGAAAACAGACCAGCAACAAACAACTCCCGATTCTTTCGTATTTTCGGGAACTCATCACTCAAGGCGGTAATAATGGCCTCTGAGCCGCCAAACTGTAGGGGATTAATGCGATTTATAACTATATTTTCTCTGTAAATATAAGTTATATACACTTACCGAACTATCCAGTCCCAGAGTAAGCAGCATCATAAAGAATATCAAAGCCCAGAAAGTACTGGCCGGCATGGTGGCAATGGCAGCTGGATAGACCACAAATACCAACCCAGGACCTTCAGTGGCCACATCCTCGATTCTCACGCCCAATGTGTGGGCCATATAGCCCAGCACTGAGAATATCACAAATCCTGCTATAAAACTGGTGGCCGAATTGATGAAACTGGTAAGCAAGGCATCTCTAAGAAAAGAAAGTAACATATATAATATCTGCAGAACTCCCCAATAAATCACACTTACTTGTACACATTATTGTGGTACTTGTTGTAGGATGCATAGGCTAATAGGACACCAAAGCCAGGACCTAGGGAGAAGAACACCTGGGTGGCTGCATCCACCCAAACCTCTGCCTTGTAGATGGCACTAAAGTTGGGCGTGAGATAATACTGTATGCCCAGGAAGGATCCAGGCAAGGTGAGACCCCTGATCAGTAGAATTAGCAGCACCACGTAGGGGAAGAGAGCTGTGAACCACACAACCTTGCCGGAAGTGCTGATACCCTTCCACAGGGAGAAATAACAGATTAAATAGACAATCAGTAGGCACAACGCCATGTCCCATTTAATGGCTCCCAAATCGTGAATTCCCTCGCTTTGGTTCAGCTCCAGAATGTAACGGCTAAACGGGGTAAAAAAAAATACAATAAACTGTAATTATACATAGATAATCCACTCACTTAAAATACTCGGAGGCAGCAGATTGAAAGCCCTCCATGTGACCTCCAGAAGGGGCTTCCAAGCTCGTCATCGAACCATTTATATAAGACTCATTATAGAGCAGACTCTGATTGCCTAGGCTATAGTCACTGTAATTGCCTATCACTGAGACCCGAGTTGCATTCTGGCTCTCAAACTAAAGCAGAATGAATTAAGAACAGGTTTTTAATAATTATGTATATTAAATATCAGAAATACGGCTTACCGGTTTACAATTGGGAGTATTCCAAATATTATTGCACGACGTCCAGGGTAATGAGCTGGTGAAGGATGCAAAAAAGAAGCGCAACGACCAGGCAATAATCACATTATAGTAGAAGTCCACATAGAAGGCTATCAGCACCACCGCATAGCCAATTCCTGTTCAAATATATGTCGTGGATTATTTAAATTTCTGGTTAGTGATAATTACTTACCTTTGAAGAGTGGCACTAGGCGACCCCAACAGGTAATTGCTCCCTTACGATTGTGCTGGCCGAGAGCCAGTTCCATGTAGAATAGAGGTATGCCCCCGACCACCAACATAATGCAATAGGGCACAAGAAAGGCGCCTGAAATGGGATACAAATATATTAAAAATAAGGATGCAATAGTGAGGAAGAAATCTTAGAAAACGAATAAATTTCATTTGTTTAAAATCTCTTTTTCTTCCTCCTAAAAGTATGCATTAATTTAGTTAATTTTAAAATCAAAGTCTTTAATGCCTTCCAGAAGCATATGTGACACCCCCAACATAATTTTCATCTCCTTCTCTCTAATTTCCTCAACTTTCACCTCGCCTGCATTTCAGCCAAAGGCGCAATCAATAACTTTTTTATGATAATGATTGCATAACCGCCACACTTGGAGACTGACCCATGTCACAGCCTCTGCATTGTTCGCCTCGCTCTTGTCGTCAAACATAATTACACACATATTTAATATATAGACACCATACGCCATACTTTTATGTATGTTCGATGGTACACAAAATCAAATTGTTTTACAAGTGCCACTCTAAGGACATTTTAAAAACATTAACAGCAGCCAGGCCAAGCCAGAGAGAGAGACACAGAGACAGAGACAGGGTGAGATGAAGAGGAAGAGGAAGAACGCCTGTCTCCTGCAGTCATCTCCGTCACCTCCGGAAATACCAAAACCCCCCGGGAAAACCCCCCTTTTGGGCCCGACAATTGGTAGAGTGCCATCGATACTTTGTTGAGTGACAGGGGATGATGTTTTTATGATTTGATTATGTCTATTAGCAGGCAAAGTGGCCGACAAAGTCGTCTACGGACATTATACATACCCCACCAGCCACTGCCACTGCCACTCTATGTATGTGCTCGATGTATATATTGGTACGTAGCTACAAAGGATCTGTCTGCCTCGGAGGCCTTTCCTTCTGTCGTGTCAATTATGGTGGAAATGTAAAACAAAAACGTCTAAAATAAAGTTAGGCCATCTATGACGTCCCCGACACTGTTGTTGAAGCCATAATTTCCGTTGCTTCAAGTGCATTTCCGCCTCGTCAGGGACACAGTGGAAAATATGTGCCAGTAATTGAATTATCACGCCATCAGTTGGTCAAAACTGGGACAATTTATGTTCATTGATAGTTGATGATAATGGTTTTAATTAGCAGAGTCTTGGCAGGAGAAATGGAGACACTGTCTAGTGATTTCCAAGCCTTAAAAGTGCCAGAAAGATGCCTGTATCCCTTTGAGGCGAAATTCCTAAAGACAAAATGCATATTTAACTTGGTAAGTATGCATGATGAACGTATGCGCGATCTAAGCCTGAAGGTGCCTGAGCAAGTGCCACTCCTTGGGGTTTTTAGCCCTAATCCAGGACATTGTGGCTGGCGCAGCCTGTTGCTGCCAGGACAGCTTGTTCTTCCCTTCGTCCTGTGAGTTGTAATGCAGGGAAATGGGAAAGAGAATAAATAATACCGACTAAGCTGTGGCAATAATCGCAACCTGAGCGAGTTGGTGGTGGTGGTAGTCCCTGGCAACGGACATAAAGTGGAACTTAAGCCTTAGCCGGAGCCACTGATTGAACGCAATGAAGCGTATAAATATAACAATTTATTATTATGATTTTAAAGGCAGCAGGAAACATTCAACCATAGCACAAGCTTTGATGGAGCAAAAAAAAAAAACGAATAATAATAAAATAGTAATAACTATATCGAAGGACCCGCCCGTGTGAGGAGCCACAATCCATTCACAACGCATCAGCCGGAAAGTGCCGCCATCAGGGGAAAATGGGGTGAAGACATGTTTCGCACATGAATTTCCCACAATGCGATGTGGGGAAAGTGCTTCGGCAACAAAAGCCTAGAGAGCACAGCTCTGAACTCCACATCAGCCGGCTGACATATTGCCCAGGAATGGGGTGAAAGCGAGTGCACGAGGAGGGTAAAGAGTAAGCAGGCCAAATGCGATTATGACTGCCAGATTTAGTTGTCATACAGAAGCACTTAACTTTTGGAATTGTTTTGAATGATGGCGTTGACGGTGAGGATCAGGAAGCGAAAGTAAGTGTTTGAGAGTGCGGGTTCCATTCCCTCTCCAGCTACTCCACAAAGGATGCGAGCTCCAAGCCTGCCTCCATCCCCCAGCTACGGCACTTGGCACCACTTTGACAAAGTGTTAACAAGGCCGAAAGGGAAATGGGGAGTGCGAAATGCGGAGAGCGGAAAGCGACGGGTTCCGTGGCGAGCCCAATGATGTGTAAAGCCATATAAATTATTTTCACTCAGCCAGAGCGATTCACGAAATGTCTTTGTCCCCTAATTGGCCAGTTCACACAGAGAAAAATTACACGAAAGTTGATACACTATTCTGTGTTGTATAGTAAGTAAAGAGTATTTCTGCTGTTTTTAAATCAATTCAAAATGTGTCTAAAAGTATGCAATGCAATTTTGTCAGACCCTCAGTGGCTTCTTCCTACGATGTATCATACTTTTAGACACTATATTAATAGATTATAAAACCATTCCTTAAATATTTTGGTTTAAATTCAAAATAAATCAACAACAAAAAGATTTTTAAATTAAGAACTGTGAAATTGTATCATAAATTCAAGAATTGGTTAAACTTGTTAAATAAAATTTAGTAATTTCTACTTACCACCTCCATTTTTGTAACACAAATAGGGAAATCTCCAGACGTTTGCTAAATCGACGGCGAATCCAATAACCGATAATAAAAAATCCACTTTGCCGCTCCATGTTTCCCGCTCGTCGCTGATGCTATTGTTATCGTTATCGTGTGGCGTGGGCGTCTTTGATTTGGATACCTGTCCCGTTGGTGACATCTGCGACTATATAACCCGTCTCGTCCTTGACCCAAAACGTGTCGATGTTTCGACCACGCTAAAGTTCCCGCCGCCGCACTTTGAAATCTGTGTAAAAATCAAAGTACTTCGATTCAAATATATGTATATACATCCCCTCACCGAATATCAACCCGGAATCATTTAGGTCTCAATCCCAGGCCATCCCCTTGCTCTTCCATAAATCCATGGACCTCAGTGAGTGTGTGTCCAGGGCCACTTGAAACCCGTTTGGCCACGACATGTGCTCACCCGAGCCCTTGAAGAGCTCGTTGGCACATTACGCATACGACAGGTGGCATGTCCAAACACACTGGCCAGCAAACACTTGACCAGCCCATCCACACCACAGAACAAGCACATATATGTGGATATATTTAACATGTTGTATGTGCATATATGTATACGAGGGAACTCTCGGGGAATCTTTGCGTGTAATGAAGCCACAAACACGTCAAACAATTAATCTGATCTACTTAATTCTTCCCCGCTGACTTTAATTGCCCAGAGCTGTGATCAATTAAGCGGAATGCAGATTGAGTGCTTCAAGTGCCCGACGGGCTTATTTATGAGCAAGTACAATTATAAAAACAGTTTATTTATGATTTGATAAAGAGCTTGCACTTGCAGTTGGAAATGATCAAACCAGAGACCTTTAGGAAGAGTTACAATGTAAGGAGAAGATTTATTGTGAAATGTAACTGCTTGTAAAAAACAATTTATTCAATTCAGGTACTTGTGAATGGTATTGAAAGTAGAAAAGTTGTATCATTATTTAAGCTAATTTAATAATCATTGTAATGCTATAATTAAGTCATAAATATGTACTTTTTTGAGGGGTTTTTTTTATGCAATCATTTTCCTTTTTAATCCAGCTAACAACGATGAGTTTAATAACAATAATTGATTTTGAACATTTTTTAAGGGCGTTATAAGCTACAATTCAAACGATTTTAAGTATTGATAAATTGTCTGGTTATTTGACACTTAAACTATTTACGTAATTAACTTTTTAAGAACTAAAATCCTTAACAAAATCATCTGAAAACTAAATATTTCTCCTTTTTTAAGAGTACTTTATATCTGGAAAAGAATAAATGTTGTTCTTAACACTTTTACTAAAAATAAATGCACTTTTTAAACTGGTAATGTGGATTACAAAACCTCTTTCACTTTCTACCTATTAAATTCACAATACTTTTTTATATAAATGACCAGAGTAATTCTTATTAATATTCACATACTTTTACTGTCTTACCCAAAAAATATCAAGCTCAAATGTTACAGTTGCACCAATCCATTGTTAAGTAATCCTTGAGACTGTCCAAAAATATATAGAAAACTAGGCGAGGAGCTCCGCAAAACAATGTCCAGACCGAAATTCACTTCACATACATGGGCAGATTGATATATTCTTTTGGAAAACTTCTCAACTTTAAGGCCGATGGGAAATTTAAATCGAAATTGGAATCAAAATCCTATCGAATCGGAGCTGTTGCGCCTTCGGTGACATGCGAGCGTTTGCCAATGGCTGCTGGCCAGTTGCCACTTTTATAGTCCGCGACAAGTGGTTATAAAGGCTGCATCTCTTATCACACACACACACACACACAGCACTTATGTGCGAGGGAAAAGTTTTTTTTGTGTGTGTCAAGCGCAGCAGCAGCAGCAGAAGCGGTAGCAGCAACGGAGAAGTTGAACCTCTAGAGCTAAAGTCCCCAAACTGAAAGCCTGAAAGTCGCATGCGCCAAGGAAACGTCGACGGAACCGGAACGGAAGTGACCAATTAGAGTTGGCTTACATATACCATGACAACGGTGCGTATACTTGATGCTCTTGTGTACATGCTCGCTGTGCTGTATTGGTGCAGAGATTTCACTTCCACTGTGTGTGCGGCTGTTAACTGAGAAGGCTGCTGTTATAGTGTGGAGAGGCGCCATGTTAACCCACTGTATATGGCATTAAATTAGTTGGAAAATAGTAAATTAAATTACATTTAGATAAGTTATATATTTTATATTTTTTACATTTAGTAGACATAGGAATACGGTTAAATAATTTCTATAAATGCATATTTTTTTCACCTAAAAAATAGTAATAATATGCGGAATCTAAGAGATTTTAAGAGGTTTAAGGGGGTTAATAGTTCTAAAGACCGCTCCTTTTAGCCCTACTCTATTTTGGCTATATTCTTGTGCAACGGTCTTTTCTCCTGAGCTCTCTCTCTCTCTCTCGTTCAAAATCTCTTATTAGCAGCACAAACATATTTCGAAAACATTTTCGAAAACGCTCGCGTGCACTGCTCGGAATATCTTTTTTTAAATCCCAACCGAGAGCAGTTGGCAACGGGCACTCGTGAACAACGGATGCGTTTGTGGCATAGCAGTTCGCGGATTTAATTGCAGGTGCAGCTGTATAAATACATACTCCCACATATGTACATATGCGGAGAGTGGTGCCAGCTCACTTGACAAAATTGCGGCAGTGCGTGTTGAAATGCGTGTCTATAGAGTGCGTTCCGCTGGATAAATTGGACGCGAATTCATTCCGCCGCTGGCGAAAATCTACAGAATCTACTTTCGCCAAAAGGTTTTTATATAAGAGGCAGGCGCGGGCATTATTTTTAATTTAGCTGTTGATATTATGCATAAAGCGAAAAGAGAAAACAAACATCAAAACAGAAAAGAACAGAAGCCGGGGAGAGTGACGAGAAGAATTGTGCGGCCTGGTTCTAAAAACTTATAGCCGTCTGGCGAGCGATTCTTTCGAATTCTTCCGCTCGGTGTGTGTACGTGTTCAAATATTTATACGTGCACGCGCTGCTCAACGGATTACCCGTATTTGTTTTGGTGAATTTCCACAAGATGTGCAATAATAGGTCCATGTCCGTTTACCAGGAAGCGAAAAGGCGTCCGATCAATTTCGGATTCATCTCTTAATTTACTTTAGCTGCGTGCAGAAACAGCAACAAAAGCCAGAAGACAACGCGCATAAATAAAGATACTACTAGCGGGTATAAAGGAATCCAACAGATATAGAAATGTTTTCCTTTGCTGCTGCTTCTGCTGCTGTTGCTGTTGCTGCTGCTGCTGTCGCTATAAATATTTACAACGCCCGTCTTGTATACAAAAGTGTAAATATGTAGATACATTCTGGTAGATACATTCGCGTACATAAACTGTTTCAATTATTTTATTGGCCTGCTCATGGACAAAGCTCCGCAGAATTGAAAGTGAATCAAGTGATATGAACTGAGGCGAAAGCCAAAAACCAATTACCGAACCAAGGAACATTTGCAAACAGACAAAATGTCGAAAAAACCACGTGGACACATACACAAGATCCGAGAGTTTGAACTGGAAAAGGTGAGTGAATATCCATCTGGCTTTATTTGGTTTCATCCCAATATCACTTTATGATCTATCCAGCCAATAAACAAATAGCTATAGAAAGGTATTAAGAGTTCGACTTGGCCCAGTCGCGTCTTGAGCGTTATGATGGGCAATCTGCCAATAATCTCTTCCCCGGGAAATCGTCTACAACACATCGGGGGAAAATGCCATGTTAACGATTAGATTTCTGATCATTAAACACAAACAGCAATGGGCAACGTCTCGGTCTCGAATACAGTAATGTTTAATAGGTCTAGGTAACGCCACTATATATACACGATTCTCTCTCTCACATACTTTTTATATCTCTGTACATTTGTATATTTTATTGTTCCGATATAGTTGAGGTGGGTCTTAAACGAGGCGCACAGCATATTGCACAAAGCTCTGCTCTTTGATTTTTCAGAACAGGAAGCCCATTTAAAAATGGCTTTATTTATGAACAGGAACTATTATTAATCGGAGCTGAATTTAGAATGCTTTTATCTACAGTTCGGGAGAAATTTAATAAAAACCCCTATCTAAATGGTTTGGCCATTTCCTTGTTTTCCTCTCAGTTAACTAGAATTATTGACTAATTAATTAATACCGACATGTTTCTTAAAATGTTTCATCACACACCAAATCGAAAACATTGATGGTGTAGTTTTTTTGGTAGCAATCACAGCTATTTTAATATGTCATCTATATATAGATCCAGCTTGTGGACGAGTTTGATATCATTCAGATCGTTGGTGAGGGATGGTTTGGGAAGATCTTGCTGGTTGAGCACCGGGGATCCCAGACGGAGATGGTCCTGAAAGCCGTACCCAAGCCCTATGTTACCCTACGAGACTTTTACCGGGAATTCCACTACGGACTCCATTTGGGCGTGCACCGGCACATAGTGACCACCTATGATGTGGCCTTTGAGACGGCGGGTTTCTACGTTTTCACCCAGGAATATGCTCCACTAGGTGGGTTTTAGCAATATATATTTTATAAAATTACCCACTTAATGAGAGGACATCTTAATTTCAGGGGATCTCACTTCGAATGTGACCGATTCGGGCGTGGGCGAAGTTTACAGTAAGCGTGTGGCCAAACAATTGGCCTCGGCCATAGACTACATGCATTCAAAGTAAGTTTTGCTAAACCCTTCTTCAACTATTAATTAAATATACTTTCCTTTTCCTTGCAGAGACATAGTCCATCGGGATATTAAGTTGGATAATGTCCTTATCTATCGCTCGGACTTCCAGCGCATCAAGCTCTGCGATTTCGGCGAGTCATTTCCCACAGGCTCCACAGTGGAGCGGCGGAACGAGTGGCTGCCCTACAGTCCGCCAGAAGTATTAGAAATCAAGCCCGAGGGCAGCTACAAGTAAGCTTGATGAGTTGGTACCCAAGTTCTCAATAATTAATATATATATTACCCTTTATTCCAGAGCCGATCCCAGCCACGATGTCTGGCAGTTTGGCATCGTGATCTTTGTGTGCTTAACTGGATGCTTGCCCTGGCAAAAGGCTGCTTCCGATGATCCCCGATATGTGCGATATTTGGCCTGGCAGGGTGGTCTTATGATGATGCCCCTGCGGCGAACTCCTCGGCTCTTTAAGCTCCTCACCTCGAATGCCCAGCGCATGTTCAAGCGCTTCTTTGCCAGGATCTCCAATCGTCCAAAGAGCCTGGCCGATGTGACCAAGTTCCTAGATGATCGCTGGCTGGCCAAGACAGCGCAAAAGGAGATGGCAGAATATGAGACCGATGAGCTGTGTCCCTCCATGTACTCCTTCCACAGCAGTCCGGATGAGAAGAATCGTTTGCTGTACACTTTGGCAGATTGTGGAATCGAAACGAACGTGGATCGCCAACAGAAGAAGAATCGCATCAAAGACTGGATAGAGTCGTCCATTATAACAGAGGAGGATGAGGTGAGTTTTTAAACGTATTTTCAAAGGGATTAAGTTTTCAAGCAGCTAAAATTACCTGATCTTGAACAAACATGGCGGAATAACCTTTAGTTTTAATTAATTGGCCACTAGCCAAGTTTTTTTATTTAATTGCCTTAAAAAAAACAAAGGCATTGTTCTCTGATTAACCAAGAATTCTCTAAGGAAATACTAACGTATAGCCTAACTAGCTTGACTACCACATAAACTCCTTCTTCCTTCTCCTTTCTTTGCAGGAAGAGAACGAGGAGACCAATTCCGCCTCTCCATCGTCATCAGTTTCCCGGGAGCCACTGCCCGGCCATATCTCATCACTGCGCAAGCCGGCCAGCCCGCCGGAAAGCTCGAAAGAGATCAAGGGCACCCTTAAGGATGCCACCCAGAAGCACTTTGATCCACGCACGGGGGCTTTGCAGCAGGGCCCCAGCGAAATGGGCCAAGTGGCCATGTCGTATTCCAAGTCCGCCAGTCCCTCCTCCAACTACAGCACCACGGCCTCCACGCTGAACAATGCCGACAGCCTGCTGACGCTGGGCTCGCGGCAGGATTTGCTGGCCAGCAACATGACCATGTACACCTCCATGGAGACGGAGCTAAATCGTCTAGGTGAGGCTGATCCTCGTCTGAACCAGCGCTCGCTGAGCAGCAATCCCATGCTAACCACCTTCGATGTGAACACCTCTCCCGCCGCCAAGAACTCTATCGGAGTGGGCACCCGCAACTCCAGCCGGAGCATCCTCAAGTCCTCAATCGTAACCGCCGCTTATCCCGCTTTGGGCGCTTTTAACATGGGCCAGAGCCACAGCCTGCAACAGCTCAACCAGCACCTCCAGACATCCACGGGCCTCAATCCAAAAGACAACTCCTTCTTTAGTCGATGACAACCGCCGGCTAGCTAGTTACTAATCCTTGACGCACTTTCAGAGCTTTGCGATGCCCGGGCCTCGAGCTATGCTAATCTCCCGTATGCTTCTCAAGTTAAAGACAGCGCCTACGGATCGGCCGATGTCAGCGAGATGACGACGAGCAGGAGTCCCCGGAGTGCCCCAGTTATGAAAGACACCGCCTATGACCGCACCAGCAGCAGCAGCCACAATATCGCTCGCCGCCAGCGCAGATAGCTACCGATTTGGTCACTCACTGATTTACAAGTTCCAATAAATAGATAACGTACATTTCTTAAGTTTTATCCACTCCTTTACTTGTCTTGGGCGGTTGTGATGGAAACGCAACATAGTTCTTATAAAAGTACGTTTCATTTATTACGCATCAACATCCCAAAATAAAGATGAGCAGCGGCGCTCACTTCAGAGGAATAAAACGGGAGCTGTGGGTGGCACCGATACCGGGACGACCGTGCTTAACGGGCTTGTAGGTCAGAGCGAACTCTCCCAGATAGTGGCCGATCATCTCGGGCTTGACCTCAACCTGTGGATGAAGGAAATTTGGAATTAGATATCTTGGAAATATATGGATACTTATAGGGAAGTTTTCGTGACCTGGAGAGGGGGAACTGATTAATACACTTTCCTATATAGTCTACATTTTAAACCCCAAGCTATTCCTCACCTGGCCAAAGTCCTTGCCGTTGTAGACGCCAATGATGGAGCCGGTCATCTCGGGGACGATGATCATGTTCCTCAGGTGGGTCTTGACAATCTCGGGCTTCTCATTTGGTGGCGCCTCCTTCTTGGCCTTGCGCAGCTTCTTGATCAGAGCCATTGGCTTGCGCTTCAGGCCGCGGGAGAAACGCCTGCGAGCACGGCTGTGCATCAGCTCCACCAGCTGGTTGCTGTCGGGGAAAAAGAAAAGCGCCGGTTAGTTGCCGCATTTATTGATATTTTGCATAAACCACTCACTTGGGCATGTCCAGAAGCTGGTCCAAGTCGACACCACGGTAGGTGAACTTCTTGAAGGTACGCTTCTTCTTCAGATTCTCATCGACTTGCTGTTTGGCAAAAAATCAAAGAAAAAGAAAAACAAAGTCAATACGGCTGCCATTTTGCGTGAAAATCGCACTGAAGAGGTCCAAAATAACATTTGCCATCGTGCGCGAAACACTGCCAAATTCATTTCACACTGCATTTTGGCCAATTTCCACACAGATGCCGAATATTTCATTGGATTTTCGAAAGATATTTACATCGGCCATCTTTTTTGGTTCGTGCACAAAACGGAAAGAGTATTAAAATCAGTGTGCCCAGGCCACCACTGCTGGAATTGGCCACGGGCTAAAAATACCAACTGGTGACATGGTAACTCAAATGATATTTTGGTATTTTTTGCGATGTAAAATGTTTGTAAAATGTAAAAATTAAATGTATAATTAAGTAAAAAAAGTAAAAATATAAAATATTCTTGCTTGGTATCAACAGCCAAGTCGATCTAGTCATGTCCGTCTGTTTCTACACCAGTCCCTCAATTTTAAAGTTGCCATCATAAAACTTTCTAGATAGTTTTCTATGCTTATTAGTATATATGTCGAATCGGGTCAGATCAATTCCCTATATCTTATAGCTGCCTTAGGAATTTTTATTATTATTATTAATATTTTTAAATTTTGGTTAACGTATTTTTTTAGGATCCTCGTGAAATATTTAGCGCGGAGTTTATTGTTTTCAAACGATATTCAGTTGTATAAATCGAAATATTATTTCGTAAAGCTTCGATATTAAATAACTAATTATTAATTATTAACAAAAATAATTACTTTTTATTTAATAATTAGTTCTGGATTTGATACTTAGCTAAAAAAAGGGCAGTTTGTAGCGAAGAGTTCTGTTTAAGCTGAGTTGTATAATTCAGAGGTTTGGGCTTAACCTTAGGTTAAAGTCTCTTATCAACAGATTCACGTAATACCTCGATGGCTTCCGAGAAAGCATCCGATCTATATACATATATACATACATATATGTACATGACCTCATTCTATATTTATATTACCCACATGGGAGTACCTAAGCAGCATATATACACTTCAAAAAATAACCTCTCTCTTAGGAAATACGAATATTTGGCAAACCAACAGGCTACGTGGAAAGTAGAACTGTTTTCCTAGAAAAGATTTCACAAAAGTAATTTGTATTCAAAAATTATGCTTATTTTTTCGTTTTTAAGTCAAACCCAAGGTTTGTTGTTGAAAAATTCCTTTTAATAAATAATTTAAATTTGAATAATAATCCAAACTTTATTATTAAACCAAAAGCTTAGATAATCCTTGTAAAACTTGTATCTGATAAGTATTGCTGAAAAGTAAGAAAGACCGCCCCCCCCATTTTAGGTAAATTATTGTCCAGGTATTATTATTTTTATATATATACAATTTTATTTAAAACGATAATTGCGAGTTTGTCTAAGTTTCATTGTCCGGAAGGCAAATATTATTAGGCTCAATATTACAATCACAGTTCTTAGCATAGTTTTTGTATCTTGGTTGTCCTGAGCTGGCTTGTGGGTGGCCACAGATACGAAGTGCTCCTCATCATCTCGATCATAAAAGCTCAGCCAACAGCCCAGCCATGTATAAACTTTTCTTCATTTCAAAAGGAGGCCTTAGCCTCCCATCCCATCTCTCGACACCTTCTATCAGCAGTATCTCAATTGGCAAATTCTGTTTCTATTCGGAAGTACCTAGGACAGATTCGCTGGAAACCGGATGGTATAGTATCCGTGGCTGCTTGTTGGGCGGCTTTCATCTTATTAAATATTTCCTGTAATTGATTTTTCATCTTTGCAGCATCTATCTTGTTCGACACTGCATGCAGTTGATTTTCAATTTTGTTTAGAACCGCTTGAAGTTGGGTTTTAAGATCAATCAGACTTCCTTCCAGTTTAACTTGGGACTCCTCCATCTTAGTCAGAACGGCTTGCTGGCCTTCCAGTTTGGTTTTTACCGCAGGCAGGCTCCCTTCCCTACCTCAGGAGGAGTGGACGCGATAGCGATACAAACCAAGTTAGAGGCCAAACTGGAAGGGAGCCTGCTTGCGGTACAAACCAAGCTGGAAGGCCAACAGGCGGTTCTGACTAAGATGGAGGAGTCCCAAGCTAAACTGGAAGGAAGTCTGCTTGATCTTAAAACCCAACTTCAGGCGGTTGTAAACAAAATTGAAAATCAACTGCAGGCAGTGTCGAACAAGATAGATGCTGCCAAAGTGGAAAATTAATTACAGGAAATATTGAATAAGATGGAAGCCGCCCAATAAGCAGCCACGATTACTATACCATCAGGTTTCGAGCGAATCGGTTCTAGGTATTTTCGAATGTCTACAGCTTTGCTTTGATTACGGTGTCAGCATCACGTGTGTTTCCTCGGTTCTGGCCTCTGACGTGTTCGTTTACCAGTGAGCAGCAGCTTGGTGAGACAGAAGTTATCAGTTTGGTTTGGATTGTCATTAACCAGACTGGTCCTCCCGGAAGGATCCATCCCACAGGATACAGGCAGTCAGCGCCCAAGGGTGGTAACTTTCGATGTTGGGCATCCTTAAACTGGGTGAGAGTAAGACCGCGTTTGGAGAAGGTCTCTGCTGAACTGATTCCCGAATTATTCGAAGACATTCGAAGAGGCATCTGGCTTACGCTGGGATTGATAAGAGCTTAATATATGTACACGTATACACATAAAGATGGCACTAGCTGTGGTTGCTGTCGTGGAACATGTTGGTTTGCCATTGGTCTCTTGTTGCCAACTGTATCTGGGTGCCTGGTGACTGGGTTCATCAATGGAGTTCATGGAGTGGAGAGTTCACTGGTGCTTCCATGTTCTCTCCAGAACCGGACAACGATCCACCAATGCCAAAAGAGCCCATATCCAATTCCAATCATCCGAGTATCTTATCCAGTTGCTCCCTTGGCGACTGGGAACTACATATTCAAGACAGCCTTTGCAACAAGGACGTTTGGTAGTCACTGAGGGACAAAAGTCTTTCCAAAACAAAGCGTAAATGGTGAACGAGTCTGGTTTTTAAATATAACGGTTATCACAAAGTATGACCGCATCATTGGCCCACCAAAAATGCCAAAGAACTAGTGAAAAGAGAGGTCACAAAAGACTTTGTATTTTTCCGCTGCAAAATCATTTTACCCCCACGATATAGACCTTACAAGAAAGCGAGAGCTAATAAGGAGGCCGAGGCTTTAAAAATGTGACTTTGCGCCTTATGAACCTAGACAACTTTTTAGTATTTTATTACCTCTCTTCTGAGTATGACCATGTTTCTTAGCTGTTGCTCTCTCGCTCCATCCCACAGTATTTAAATGGTATTAATAAAGCACTTGGGACTCAGTCACACTTAAAATTGCAGCAGTTAAATTCGAAATAATAAATTTAAATTTAATTTCAAAATGTTGTACCTAATAACCATATCCAAAAACTGGTTAAGTATTACAATTTTCTTTTTTTTAATTTTACATACAATTTCAAAAAAATGCCCGAAAAAATCCCCTCTCATCTCCTTATCAGTTAAGCTTCCGCTTGACTCGGAAGTTGACTTTTGTTCAGTTTGAAACGCGTCACCACCCAAAATGCAAGTGCTTTTCTTGATTCCCTTGCTTTTGGGAGTAGTCTTGGGTAATATTGTACCAAAACTTTGCGATAATGGAACCGGGCAGTGCAAGCAGTTAAGCGACTGCCCCACCATATTTCATAACCTGGCTGAGATCGGACCTTTTGTGAAATATTGCGATGAGTTCAACGACATTGTTTGCTGTCCCCTGCCAATTAATATGCAAAGCCAGGAGCAGCCATTCTCCGCCGGAGCCAGGCTCAGGAAATTTGAGAAGGGTCAGTTACACCTAAAATAAGCTGAATTAATTCTTTAAATTAAGAATGCGTTGTTTTTGCTAAACAGAATGTCGCCGCTATAATGAGATAAGAGCTTCCTGTCGTTCCACGCCTTTTATTGTGGGTGGCGTCAAGGCCGAGGGCCGCGAATTCCCCTTCATGGCGCTGCTGGGGCAGCGTAGGAAAAATTCTTCCAAGACTCAATGGGACTGCGGTGGCACCCTCATTCATCCCAAGTTCGTGCTGACCGCCGCCCATTGCCTGGAGACCAGTGAGTGAGTAAGAACACTTATTAAATATTAAATTGCTTATAAATTCTCAAGAGAAATCTAAATTATGGTAGGAATTTTTCTATAAAGTAAAAACCATTTATAGGATTGAAACTTGAAATATAGTTAAAAGTTAAGTAAATGTTTTATTTGATTTTTGATTAAGCAATTAAAATCTTTTTTCCATTCTCTTGTGTTAAGGCCATAAATTATTTTATCCAAGAGCTATAACAAATGTTGTTTTAAAAACCAAAAACATCATGTTTTAAACATTCTTTTTCTTGAAATCGTATTTCAGAAGTCAGAAATTTCCATTCAATTTAATGGCTTTCATTTAATATATGTATTTTTAGCCAGTTTTCAAAATTTATAAACAAAAACTGGCTTAAGTTTAATAGTTTTATTTTATTTCTTATTATTTTCTCAAAGAATCCTTAATATTTCACGACTCTTTCCAGGACCAAAGCTCAGCGCCTGGATCCCAACTACGACAGCCCCAAGTATGTGGTGAGACTGGGAGACCTGGACTACAATAGCAACACGGATGATGCCCAGCCCCAGGACTTTTTGGTGGTCAACTATGTGGTGCATCCCGGCTATGGCGAGGATGACTTTACTGGTGGCCGCTTCAATGACATTGCTCTCCTTGAACTGGACAAGGAGGCCACTTTCAATGAGTATGTGGCACCTGCCTGCCTGCCCCCCGCCAGCGGAAATGAGTACCTCCAGGTGACAGCCGCTGGCTGGGGAGCCACTTCAGAGGGTGGAAAATCCTCCTCGCATCTCCTCAAAGTCACCCTGGATAGGTTCGGGGAGCAGCAGTGCAGCGAACGCTTGAGCCACAAGATCGATGTGCGCACTCAGCTCTGTGCGGGATCGCGGAGCAGCAGTGGCGATACTTGCTACGGGGATTCCGGTGGACCCGTCTTCGTTCAGCATCCCGTTTACACGTGCCTCAAGCATGTGATTGGCATCACGTCCTATGGAATAGTGTGCGGCGTTCGGGGATTGCCCAGTGTTTACACCAAGGTCCATCTATACACCGACTGGATAGAGAATATTGTGTGGGGAGAATGAGTTTGAAAATGTAGCATTTGGAAAGTGCAAACCTGAAACATAAACCCTCTGTTTTATAGACAGAAGCAGCCGACATTGATAACCATTAAAGCTCAGTTATAATACAATTAGATCCTAATCCAGTCACATGGTGGCTTTTTTGTTACTTATTTCATCAGTTGGACCGATAATAGGTTCTACAAATCCCAGCTTAGACTTTAGCACTCCCAATGAAACCGCTGCTCGTATCAAAATCAGTTTTGTTAGCTTTAATCAAACGTCGCGATAACAAATTGCATAACAAACATCTGGGGACTTACGGCTACGAGGATGTGGGTGGTGGTGAGGCGGTGCGAATGGAGTATACAGATATATATATATAATATAGCGATGAGTGCTCTCTTGTCGTGCTGCAGTGCATTACTTAAGGCTAGGACACAGTGTAGGCTAAGTGCTAGAGGACCCTGTAGATGGCCAACATCCCGGGTTGGCACTGGAGGTTGTGCATTGAGCAGGACTACAGGCGATGAAGGCGGTTCAGATCGTGACGCCTCTGGGCATTCCTGTCCTTGATCTCCTGCTTGCGGATCTCCTGCTGCTTGTACACGAACAGGGGCCGGAAGACGATGGCCCGGCGCGGACGATCCAGCTTCTTGGCTTCCACAGCAGCCACAGGCTCAGCATCCCGACGCTGCCGGCCGCTGTATGGCCGGAACAGATTCGATTTGGCCGAATCGTGGGCGTAGAGTGTGCTCAGGAAGTCAAAGTATGGCTTGGACTGGAGGCTATCCCGGTTTGCCAGCGGCGAGTTGTAGCTGAACTGATTGGGCGTCTCGATGTCCAGCAGATTATGGGGAACATCCTGCTGCTGGGGAGCTGGAACTGCGCTGGCCATCGCTGCCAGGAGCAGCAGGATCAGAGAGCTGAACTGCAAAGGCGAACAAGGAAAGGAAATAGTCAGACATTGTCAGAAAGAGGTGTGAATAGCGGCTGGAGGCCAGTGGCAGAGCCAAGCGGTGCCAGAGAACCAGAACCTGTCTGCTCTTAGCGCTTATGCTGTGAATTAGCATACAATAATTAATTTAAATTAACCAACCCGAGGGGGTTGGGACTGGGGCCCAAGTCAATGATATAACCGCAATCAAATCTAATTTATAGTCGCACGTAAAATATTCATGAGCACGTCTCGAATTTGGTAGGCGTCATCGAGCATGATCCGAGAATCCAGCTGATCTCTAGGCGCCAGAACCAAGAGATTCGTCTAACCGGATGCACCACTCTCTATGCTAATATATGCTGTATATGCTAATGTCTTTCGATCCTATACTATATATTCCTGGAAGCCCAGTGATGGATGATTCACATTTGGCACTTCTTTTGCTGGCTTTTTGAATTATGTAAAACCTTAAACCGCAGACAGAAAACAAATTAATTTCAATCAGCAGCGGGCCAAAAAGGAGAGGATCAAGATTGAGATTGCGGCCATGTAACCGGTTGCTTTTTGTGGTTCAGGGTTAAAATCGTTTTGGAATCAAGGCTTCCAACAGGATCGTTCCAAGATCGAAGATTGAATATCAAGTGCAAATTGAAAAGAGGGCCATAAAGCCGGAGAGCTTTTTATGACACTTCCTCATGAAGATCACAAGATCACACATCGCGGCTGGCTCTTGGTAGGAATAGAAATAGAATAACGAATATAACTTGATTCGATAATGCTTTTGGCCTTGCCGAAATAATCAGAGTACGCCGTCCTCTGTGTCTGGCCAGTCCGTTAGCTTTGTTTTGCAGCTTTAATTTTGTGAATTTCGGTTGAAAATGTTAATGGCCGAAACACGTTTCTTTGTTGGCCTGTGTGTTTTGCTCATAAATTTTCAAAAATTTCAATACCGATCGTCGTCCCCCCCTGAGATACTTACTTGCCAGGCGAACATCTTTGGGTACCGTTGGATTAATGGCTCAATTAATTAATTAAGCTAATGTATCCTGTTTGCTAACTGGTTCAGGCACTTGACACAGGTCGAAATTAATCCAATTTGTTGGCCGTTGTGTGTTGTTCACTCGCGTAATGTCGGAATCGTACTGAACGGTTTGTATATCTCTATATGGGACTCAGTTGTTATCAGTGGCCGCTTAACACCCCGTTTTTCTATTTTTATTGAGAATAATCTTGATACGATGCTGTCGCCGCTGAGCGTGCGCTTCAACTGTTCAGAATTTTTGCCACAATTCACTTTTATACGGCCAGAGTGGTATGCCGAACGGGTTTCGCCTGCTAAGTGTTGCCGATATCGCGGCGTAGCCTTAGTCCCCGAGTGTGTGTTGCCAAACTGCAGCGGTTTTTGGAGAGCAGCCAGCCAGCCAGCTGGCTCACGTAATTAACGCTTGGGGGGAGGCTTCTTCGGGATCAAATCATATACATATGCGTCACACACACCGTGTTTGTTTGTCCTAAGCATTAGGTGATCTTCAAGCTGGAATTAATTAAACTTTTTCCATGACGCACTTACTAATCAACAGATCCGAGATATGAGTGAGATCTTAATCCCCCATCCTGGGAACGGAACAACTGGAACACGGAAGAGCCTAAGCAGAGGGAGTCGTAAAGCGTAAATCGGATCGCATCGGATTAGCGTCGGAACCAATTTCGTGTGGCTCATTATGGGACCTTAAGCTCGGGCTTAAAGTTATGCAAATTGCTGAGCTCGCTCGGTGACGCATGTCTGGGGCTATGCTGTGTGTTTTGTATATAGTATGCCATGGCATGCTTGGAAAATTGTCAACTGGCACTTGAGCTTGGCTTTCATGCTTGAGGAGGGGAATTCGAAGGCCGCTAATGGAGGGAGCACCCCCTGCACCGCCTGCCGCACGTGATCAGTAGCAGATTGGCTCGATCTCGATCTTAATCGAGTATGGGCTGTGACGCTAGTACCCCTGAAGTGGTTCTGGCCACTTAAATAGACCTGTCTTGGCCGTGTCAATGGCCACCCACCCCCCACCTGGCTGGACTCTCACCATGTTTGTTTGTTTCTTCTTAGCCTTTTTGGTATTTTTAGCCAGAGCGCAAAGCGATTTTGCCCATGATATTTGTTCAATAAATTTCGTTTAATTAGTTTTTTGGCTTGAAGCCGGTTTGAAACGCAATAAGACAAATGGCCCGGCGATAAGCGGGGCCATCGTCGGCGTCGTCGTCGTCACAAATGTCAGAGAGTGAAAAACAATATAAAAATGCTTATCAGGGTTTTACGATGATTCTATACCATGATTAGGTCTACAAATCCGGTGTCATTCCGATCCTTGGCCCTAAACCCCATTTGAATCATCGGGAGTTAGTCGGAATTGCAGGCTTCTAATTGGCTGAGATATGTTCCCGACACTGGGCGTTGACTTCCGCGGAGGAGTGCGCGAGACTCATCGAGGTGCTAATTGGGATGCACTGAATCACTGGCGCTGGGAATGGCGCCCCAAAAGGTGACAAAAGGGGCACGTTCCGGCGCCACCTTTCAAAACTAACATCTCAATTTTCCCAGCATTCATTCATCCTGGTCGTAAGCTCGCTTACTATTTGCCTTTTCACTTCTGGCTCTCGGCCAGTACGTCATTTTGTGGATTTAGACCCATCGCGGGTTAATTATCACTTTGCCTGCCTCGTCACTCGCTTTCCACTGGGACGGCCAAGCTCTAATTTGATTTGGGGCCTAATTTGTTTTGCTCTGGCCAAAGATCATGGAAATTTTGCCAGAGCTAATTAGGCTCTGGTGTTGGTAAAGGGTGTTAACTGCCGTAATTTTGACTGAAACGAGATTTTTCGCAATTTAAATTTGAATTTAAGCGCCCAGCACTGGTGCGTTGCCAGACTTTGCGTTCATGAGCGTCTAACGTTGCCAGATCGTCTGCGCATGAGCGACCAATATTGCCAGACCGCAATTTTCGATATCGAAAATGTTGTGGGCGCTTAAATTCAAAAAAATGTAAACATGTAAATATAAATATTAATAAAAAAAAATTATGAAAATAACGTACTAAAATAATAATTACATTTTTACTATGAGTTTGACTAAAAAAATAGCCTAATTCTTTAGGGACCACTGGCAAAAATTATAAAGTTCTCCATATTTCTAAAATTCACGAATTTCAAGAATTAAGATCTCAAAATCAGCCTTTTTTTAAATTTTTATTATTTTATTTTAATTTATTTTATTATATTTTTAATTTAGCAAAGTAATTTAATTTTGACTTTCAGTTTTGATAAAAAATCAAAACAAAATTTTTTTTTAATTGAAAGGATAATAAAATAATATTTTTTTATCAGATGATTCTGTGTTTAGTTAACATAGGAAAAACAACGCAAACCAACTTTTTTTCGAGGGCACTCGGGAGATTCACTACAACATTAAACACAAAAGGGTTTAAATATTTTTATTTAAATATAATTTAATTCAATAAGCTAATTTTAGCCTTTTCACCACAAGAAATTTTTGAAAAGTGGCCCCATTTTGCAACAAATTAAATACTACTTAAATACTTCGTATTAGTACTTTTTTCTACTACTTTTTTAATGAAATAAAACGATGATATTTTTTTTTTATTTTGTTTGAAATATATTTTTGGTAAATAGAATTTAGGTATTTAAATTTCTATTATTATTTATTTACATTTTTTCTTGTTTAGTTTGTTATAAAATACAAATTTATATACGATATTGATGCATAACACTTTAATCTTTCGCTTAATTGGTTTATTTTATTTCAAAATGTTTTAAATTATTTTGGTCCTTATACCAAATAACAAAAAACACGTTTTCGTAGATCAAACAAATTATTTAACAATTTTTTACATATTAACATCGAAAAGTGTAATTACATTTCACAGTAACTTTAATTTAAACTGAACAAAAGTGTAATTTTCTATTAATAATTTTTTTGACTAAAACTAAAAATAAACTTTAAAAACAAAATAATCATAATTTCAGCTGCGATTGAAACTACCAAGCTAAAAGCACTTTTCGAAATTCAACGGTTAACAGGCGCAACAGGCTGTTGCCTAGCAGGGAGGCTAACAGGCGAAGAGAAAGGCGCTGTAACGGCCGAATACCGAAGAGAAACGCCAAGCGTTCTTATATCGTAAGCGTCGCATTGCAACAAAAACACTCCTCGCGTTCGCACATCTTACGAATATTGGTAAAAGTTTTTTAACTTAGTGAATTTATTAATTAATCGGGCAGCCCACCACTCGCTACGCGTCGTGCTCCGATCGTGTGCGGCTCTTGCTGATTATCAACAAATGCCAAAAATTATTTCATCAACAGGCGAATATAAAAATTAAACCTGCAAACATACAAACATAAATGTACATGTGTGTGTGTGTGTGTGTGTGTGTGTGTGTGATCTAGAGTGCTTACAAGTGTGCGTGCGAGTGTGCGAGTCACTTGGCAAATACGAAACACATTTTTTAATATTTAACTAATATTTTGCACACACCAACAACAAGAGAAACAACAACAATAGAGCCGAAAAACAGTAACTTGACATTGAAATACACCGTAAAAAAAGACGAAGAAGTGAAGAAGAAACGGTGAAAAAGCGTGCGTGTGTGTGTTATCAGTGGAAGAGAGAGAGAGAGAGACTCGAGAAGCAACTATTGCAACAATAACTATTCCAGATTTATACACCTCTCATAATTCTTTTCCTCGAAATCTACCCACTCTCTTTGTTATTTTCGCCTATAACTTTGTGTGCCTTTTTTGTTGCGTTATTTGTTGTTTCTGTTGTCTCGCGATTAGAATTAATTGACAAATGGCAACAACAAATTATTCGGGTTCTTTTTTCGGTGTTAATACAAACGGGCATGGAACTTGCTGGTAAAACCAAAAGTACACTGAGCGAAGTAATTCCTGTTAATTCCTTTATTATCATTAAACAAATAGAAAGCTATTATCTCTCTCTCTCTGGAAAGTAAAGCAAGTGTCATCCTTGAACAAGTGGCGTTCCGTGAGCTGTGAAAAGTAACAGGATGCACGAAAGAAGCCCCAAAAGGGAGACGCCGAAGAAGAAGGGGGGGGCCGGGAAGTGAGAAGAAACATGCATAAATCATAACTAGTGCTGGTGTGAGCCATCGCTCTCGTGCGATCGGTTAGACATAAAATAAAAGTACAAATAAACGAAAACATTAACCAAAGTTCATTGACCGCCCCGAGACCAGGCAGCCTGTGTGTGTGTGTGTGTGTGTGCTCTCATAGATAGAACGAGCATAGGAGAGCATATACCCAGACTTCTTTTTTTTTTCTTTCGGGGGCCCCATTAACACCTGTCACACCAGTCTTTATCGCGAGTTTTGGGTTATCTACCCAGGCAACAGGTAAAGGGCTCTCTCTCTCCCTCTCTCTTCGACGCGACTAAAGGACATATCGATAACCTAGCACAGATCGATAATCGGCATCGCCTTCTACTTTTTTTTACAGTGGGTCGCAATCACTGAATATTAAGTCTCGCGTACAATCCAACGCCGGTACTCATGCCAAATTCCGGCGAATTGTGACAAGTCGAGAAGCAAGATCGGTAGCTGTAGCTGAACCAATAGAAGAAATCCACATATATGTCACTCTCAAAGCGACAGAAAATGTCACAGCCGAAGAAGTTTGGCAGTGGTGATCCGTTTAATTACGAGGAGCTCAACATCATTGGCACAGGTAAGCGGATTTTGTTGTTGGGATAGGTCGTTGCAAGGTGGGTTTCTCATAGTTGTGGCTCTGTTTACCTATCGTTGGCCGGCTGGGTGCTCGTGCTCCGCGGAACTGTGTGGGGATTATTAAAGATTTTGTTTTAATTTGTTTACAAACTTGGGCTAAGGGATTTTATGGCTTATTTTTAGGGTTACTAAAAGTTTTTATTAGTGGGGGAACTAATGAAGCTTAACCAAACACGATATTTGTTAGTAAAAAGCTGGTTTTATAAATGATTTTTGTTAATTTGTGGACTAATTATGGGTATTTACTTTTTTGGTATCGACTAGTGCAGTTTAAGATTGGGGTTTTTGAAAAACAATATATTTACAGGTTTATTGGTGTAGCGCCTTTTCTAAGTCATCCAAGTCGAAGCTTTTGTAGAGTTCTATAATAAAACCCCGACTAATTAAGCATGAAAATTCGTGGAAAAGGGGAAATATTGTTTTAGTAAACCCCTCTCTATTAAAAACTTTTCACTTTAGGGGGTTTTCCTTACTTTTCTTGCATACTTTTAGGTTTCTTTCAAGGGCCACGTGTTTTTATATCGCCCATAGCCCAGTCTTATTGATCCCAGATCGATGATCTGACAAGTGGTTCATGATCTTTTTTATATTTTTTTGAGGTAGTAATTCCGAAACCGTTTATTTTCGTGTAAATAAAGCCCGAAGATCAATTACGTCACCGAGCTTGCGAAGAGGCAAAGGCAAATGTTAATGATGGATATTGTCAGTTCAGCGGTAGCCGGTGCGTAGGGGCGTAGGGGGTGGGAGGGGCCTTTAAAACGGAAGGTAAGCCATTCATGGGGCACTGAATTTCATCTGTTATACGGCACACACTTACATTTTTCGTCAGTCTGTTTTTCTGTTCACATTCATTCAATTATTGCCCCTTGCCATTCGCTTTCGCTCCAACCTTTCATTGTTGTTTCTGGCCTGTGCGCAATTTTTCGACTTTTTGTTGTATATTTTTTTGTTGTATTTTGACAAAAATCAAATCGAGAGCCCAGTAGCCGACGGCAAAAACGAGTCGCAAGTCGCAATAATAGTCGAAGTCGGGCTCTCGGCCTTGTGCTTGGCTCGGTGAAACAGCGGCACAGTTCACAAGCCAGGTGGTGTGGAGTACTAGACCCCCAAACCTCCCCATTTTCATACCCTTGGTCTATTACGTTGCCTGTCAATGTCACCCAAAATAGCCGGTGTCTTGTCTTGTTCGTCGTTGTCGTTGCCTTGGTATCCCACGCATGTCTCCGTCCGTCCATCAGTCCGGGCGATACTCGTAAATTTCCGGTGACAACATTCTGTCTCTGGCATTTGATTCTGATTGGGATTCTTTGCTCTCTTCCTATTCTCTTTCGGCCTTTCTCCACACACACAAAAAAAAAAAAAAAAAACGAGATATGGTCATTATATATCAGGTTTTAATAGCCAAAGAACGTCAGAAGTATAATTGTTGTTGAGCTTGGAAGAAGCACAATGCGAAATCTTAGGATTAACTTACCTTGTTTAAGTTTTTAAGCTTTTAATATAGTGATAGTTGAGATAAAAATGTATACTCCAAGTTAAGAAATTAGTGTCATTTCAGATTTAGTTAAAAAAACGGTTACTTTTATAGGAGAATATATTATTATATTGTATCTAAAGTATCTTTCTAAGTAGCATATTTTTTCCCTTTAAAACTGAATAAAATAAAGATATTTTTTATAAATATCCCCCTAAGCGCAGTGCTAAAAATATCTCGATGAGTATGAAATGCTCGAAAGAATTATACTGGTTCATATGTCATAGATAAGTGGCTTTTATTTTTCTATATAATTAAATCAAAACCAAATTGATGACCAATTTGTTTGTTTGTGTGCTTGATTTTCTCCCTGTGGCTATAGTGGCTGTAATCTTGAATAGTTTGCCAGCAGAGCGCCAGATATCACCAATCAGCCGGCGTTTTTCGGTCATCTTATCAGCACAGCTGACTTGGGTAGGCCTCCCCCCTTTGATCCCTCTCTCACACCCGCAGACCTTGCGAATTTTTGGCAATTTTACTTGTTCTTATCTGGCCTTGCCCTGCGTTTTGTTCGCTCTTCTCTGTGCTTTGCGCTTCTGATTAGCATTTCTATTTTATTCAGTCATTCGCAAATTTTGATCTAATTTCGTGTGCTCTTTTTTATGTCTTCTATTTTATTTTTTGCAGGCGCCTACGGAACGGTTTTTAGAGCCCGAGACACGAAAACTGGGAAGATAGTGGCCATCAAGAAGGTGCGGATCGCATTGAACGAGAATGGAGTGCCAATGTCCACGCTGAGGGAGATTGCCCTGCTCAAGCAGCTGAATGCCAGCGATCACGCCAATATAGTCAAGTGAGTGTCATTATCTCAAGAATATTACCTTATTTGAGCTGAAAATTAAGGTGCAAACAGGGGCCAATTATTATATACTATATATGAGGGGGTGTTATCTATACATATTGAGGCCGAGGTGGCGCCCCAACTATTTGTTAACTAATTTGAAAAAACCTCGCTACAATGTCAGTCGGCGCAGCGCTTCTGTTTATCTTTTGCACGCTTTATAGGCCGCCGATCCGCCGCCGCAGGTTTTTGCTTCTCTTCTCCACCACCGCCGCCCCTCCACCCACGCTGTTGGCATATGCCTGTCAAATATCACTAAAGCGGCGCCACTTTTCCGGCTGATAACGCCCCTGTCACTGTGCATTCGCAGATCCGCTGATTTTGTATTGGCAAAAAATTGCATTGCGGCAGCCGTTTTAAATTTGAAATTAACAGAGTGCGCGGGTAACAGACTCGATAGCAGCGAAAAATGTTGCTAACGTTCGATAGGCAGCATTGCGCTCTTTCACTCACTCTCATTCGGCTTGGTGTTGCGCTCTCACTCTTACGATACGCGATCAACAGCGTGAGAGAGGGGTGAGCGAATGTCGTATGTTCGAGGGAACCAAAGCAGTATGTTAAGTTTAACGCTACTGTTGTGGGGTTCGGTTTGATGGAGAAATAAGTGGAGCAGGGTCTTTAAAATTTTATAGAAAAATTATATCCTTTAAGGTTTAAGATTTTTAAATTTAAAAATAAATAAAAGCTTTAAATTTAATCCCAACAATATTTGTCGTTTATTTTGTCAAAAGATACATTTAGCAGATCGATCAACATGTTGCTTAACATAATGTTAGCGATTACTCTTACTTTGGCCGCTTACGCTATTCAGACTCTTTGATCGCTATATCGTAGGCGTGTGCATGTGTTTGTCTGGAGTGCTTTGCTTAGTTCCAGAAATGGCCAAAGTATGGCCACTCGAAGAGTGGCGCTGGTGAGCCCGGCAGCATTTTATGACAGCTTGGAAATTGCGCTCTCAACATTTAATCATTTCCCCTCTGCATACACAAACAAACTGAAGTATAATTGTGTGTATTTGTGTTTCCCCTCTGCTTCCAGGCTTTTCGAAGTATGTCAGTTTCTGGAACGCGACGGCCAACTGATGATTCTTTTGGTTTTCGAACACCTGGAGCAGGATCTGTCGGATCTCATAGAAAGGCTGCCCAAATCGGGCATGTCGCCAGCCACAGTGCAGGTGAGTGATGACAAGATGATCCTCCAACGATATTGCTAATATTTATATTTTTCATATTTTCCTAGCGCCTTTCGAGGGAACTCCTAACCGGCGTGGACTTTTTGCACTCCCATCGCATCGTCCATCGGGATCTGAAGCCGCAGAACCTGCTGGTCTCCGCACAGGGCCACCTAAAGATAGCCGACTTTGGCTTGGCCAAGACCTATGACTGCGAGATGAAGCTCACCTCGGTGGTGGTCACTCTGTGGTATAGAGCACCGGAAGTCCTGCTTGCACAGTCCTACAACAGCACTGTGGATATCTGGAGTGCTGCCTGCATCATCTTTGAGATGTTCAATCGCAAGGCCCTGTTTCCGGGCACTTCGGAAAAGAATCAGCTGGACCGTATCTTCGAGTGGGTGTCTCCTAGGAAGGTGTATCTATTCTGTGACCTTTAAATCTATTTTTGATTGGTATTTTTCAGACTAACGGGTCGACCCACAGACCAGCAATGGCCCCAAACCATCTCAGTGGCCAGGGAGCACTTTCCCAATCGGCATCCAAAGAGACCCCGTGACTTTTGTCCCAACCTTTGCGAGTATGCCGATGATTTGTTGAATGTAAATAAACTATTGTCATATTTTCGAATTCGAATTATATATTAATTCTGGTTCTTTCTCAGCAAATGCTCTCCTACGACATCCGATTGCGACCCTCCGCCTTGGCCTGCATGGAACACGAGTACTTCCAACAGGAACCGCTCTAACCCTAGGCCAGTGGCGGAACCACTGGGGAATTCACTTCCCCGGAGACAGCCTGAGCCCCTCCCCACAAATGGCCTCGCAACGTTCTTGTTACAATGTTCCTTTTTTAAGTGTAGTGTGTGAAGCAGTTTGTTTTCTTTTTTTTTCGCCCCAGTCCTGTCCAGTTCAGTTTAGCTACTGTGTCCGGATCCGGCTCCGGAATGAGGAGGGTATACCTTAATATGTTTGTAGTGTTAAGATTATACGTGTAAACAGTGTCGCGACATATACTTATTACTGCCGATCAACTATACATATATATATATTTACATATATAGCTGATACAACCAACTGACGGATGACCGTAAATGTGAAACGATTCTCGAGGACGAACGGAAAGTCCCCCAAATCGAAATGTGATACACAAAGTTCAGGAATGCATTATACAATTTCAAAATTTTGTACAACAACAACCACTTATACATGTATGTGTAATTATATTAAACAATATATATATATATACAGCAACAAATTAAATATACATATAAAGAAACGCAAAACTATGACCTTTTGCATTGGGAATTTTATAATAATATTATTATTATGTTTTTAGGAAAAATTATTAAGAGATGTATTTCAAGGATAACTTCGCCAGACGGTTCTGCTGCTGCTAGACAAGGCGCTGGACAGCCTCATATCCTGGCAAATTTTTGAATTCGGAAGGTTTGCCGCACTAAGTCGCAAGGTTGCCACTCCCCCGGCAGATTTTCCAAAAAATTCTGGATTTTTAGGTGAATATTTTTTCGGATTTTTTAGGGGTAGTGTTACTGCCTGCCCTATTCCTATCGATAAATATTTGATTAATATTTTCCAACCCTATTTCCTTTTTTTTCGTTTGTCAACTCTGTTACTCTCTCTCTCTGTTAACAAGCTGTTGCTCTCATTCTGCGGAATTCCATAAGCAAAATTCTGTTAGCAAGCTCTGTTATAGTACCAGGGTTGTAGAATCAGATGTGGTTCTAACATCAGCTGTGGATTTTTTAGGGAAAAATTTCAACTTTTTGGGGTTTTTTTAGGGGGAGACTCACTGCCCTACCGCTATTTCCTTCTTTTTCTTTACAACTTTTGCAAAGAAAGTCGTGTTTTTTGCTATCACGTTTCGTGTCGATAAAATAAAGACTTAAACATGCGTTACGTGGCTGCATACCTTTTGGCTGTCCTCGGCGGCAAGGACTCCCCCGCCAACGCCGACCTGGAGAAGATCCTCAGCTCCGTGGGCATTGAGGTCGACACCGAGCGCCTGACCAAGGTCATCAAGGAGCTGGCCGGCAAGAGCATCGAGGAGCTCATCAAGGAGGGACGCGAGAAGCTGTCCTCCATGCCCGTGGGAGGCGGCGGTGCCGTCGCTGCCGCCGACTCTGCCCCCGCTGCCGCCGCTGGAGGCGACAAGAAGGAGGCCAAGAAGGAGGAGAAGAAGGAAGAGTCCGAGTCCGAGGACGACGACATGGGCTTCGCTCTCTTCGAATAAGCTGGATCTTTATTTCCTACCCACCCAAAAAACGCCGTATATACTGTGTGAATACCGGGCCAAGCAGAGCGTCGCCCCTGCAGTACTCCGTAGACGATGAAGAACTTGTCGTCCGGCTACCATTGTTATACAATAAAAATCTGCAGTATTTGCACTTTATATAGAAATGCGGAAATTGTGTTATTTGTTTGCCTAAAAGTTGTATTTTTGCCAAAAAAAGAACTTGCATTCCCACGTGTTTGTTAACATTCTGTTGCAAAGCTCTGTTAAAGCACCGCTAGCCCGCTGTTAATTAACAGAAACGGTTACACGGAGAGCAGAGTATTTTTATTTATTTATAGTTCCTTATGCTAAGTTTAATTTACATATAAATACACCGGGGAATGCTACGTCACATATTTACATCCACTTGCAGCAGCCTAGGCCAGCCCCACGATTGCGTAGAATATCAGCGGCAGCACCAGGTTGTCCACCTGGTCGGTGAAGGCCTCTACGAGGGCAGAGTTTAGAGCCGCGAAAATGGTGGCGAACCATTTGGCCTGGGTCATGGCCATCAATCCGGCAAACTCCAGCAGCCAGACGGCGAACAGGATGGAGACCACAAAGGCGACAGTGCCCTCCACAGAGCGGGAGGATTCTAGAGGAATTAATTGCAGTCTTTTTAGTAAATCCAAGAATTAAAAGTATAAAACCACTCACTTCCCCACTTGCTGCGACCCCATTTAGAGCCCACGACGCTGGCGGCCGTATCACCCACACCCACGGCCAGGATTCCCGAGAGCATGGCCAGCACATCCCCGCCAGAGCAGGGGCACGGCGTCAACCAAAGGGGCATTGAACATCCGATGAGCAGGCAAAACGGGGTCAAAGCCATGTCGCCAGCATCTTTCTCATCCTTGAACGAACGGAAGGCATCGCCCAGCTTGTCAGCAAATGGAGGAATCTTCAGCACACGCACTAGCTCCAGCACCACAAATACAGCCAAGGCAACTCCTGTGCCCAGGTACAGCAGGGCGCACTCGTAGACCACTCCCGGGACATAGACCAGCACGATTAGGAGGTGGAAGATCTTTCGCACCCGTGTATTGGCCCTCGAAGAGCTGCCAATCTGCCAGGCTACGGTGATGCAGGTGAGCAGAACCAGCAGCAGATAGAAGACCAGGATGCTGAGACGTTTCTGGTCCCGGAGAAGGAACTGGAAGAGGGCAATCAGAGGCAGGGGTTGCGTGACCGGCATACAGGTTACAGCCGCCAAGAGTACACCAAACGACAGGTAAAAGTGCACTGGTTTCCTTAGCGTGGGAAGCGCGATGAGGGCCACACAAAACACCAGCAGCCAGAAGAGGGCATTCTGTGGAAGAGAAGTGATGAAAATTCAAAGCTACATCAATAGGTTTGAGTATACCTACCACCATGATCATGTTGAGCTTGTCAAACTCATCAGTTGCCCAGGATCCGTCGCAGAATAGGCCGCTGAATCGATTAATAGCACTCATGGCGAAGAGCACCAGACCCTGGACAAAAACAGAAGCTTCGCCGTAGGAGAAGGACTGCTCAAAGCCGCGCAGCGTGTAAATATAAATCTGCTGATACGAGGCGATCATCACGAATCCCACGGAGAACGCAAAGGTGAGCGAGGTGTCCGCCAGGAGGCAGAAGCACAAACTCGTAATCACTCCGGGCAGAAGGCTCACCAAACACTTGACCAAGATGCCCGTCTTAATGAACGCGTAGATGAAGAAACAGAGGGTTTCCAGGGCCATTCCGCCGGCCGAAACGGCAAGGATCCACTGCATCTGGGCCTGATCCTGGCAGCCAGGCGGGGAATGCAGCAGGCGGACGCCGAGGGCCAGCGGGAGCAACAAACATAGCCAGGCTCCGAGGCCAGCATTGGGTCTAAAGGGTCAGATTAGATTTCCGGATTAGAGATAAGAACCACCGCACTTTGGACCTTCACGCCGACTCACCTGGGTGACATGGCCTTGATGGTGAACACGTCCGCTCGCTGGGTGATCCGCTCGTGGCTCGCCTGGCTGTCCGTCGTGGAGGAGCACGACTCCGAGTCCGAGTGCTCGCTGTCTGGTAGTGAGCGCCGCATTATCCGCTGCTTCTGGTGTCTCAAAACATGGCTTCAGCCGAAAATTGTCCCCGATTTTTGTGTATTCGCCAAAGAGGTCACGGAGAAAAGCGTGGGCTTTTCTCTCCTGCAGGTCAGTCTCGGGAAAGTGCTTTGGGATGCACTGGACCAGCTGGTCGCGCTTTGTTGTTGCCCCTGCACCAAACTGTTGCTGCTGCTGTGTTTGGTTTCAACTGCACTTTGGTATTTTCCGTCCAGTAGTGCGGTCACACTGCGCGGTAAGTACTAATTTAAAAATATATTTTTTTTAAGTTTATTTAAAAATTAAGGTAAAAAGAAGAAAATAGAAAATAACAAACCAGAATAATAATTTAATTTTAGGTATTCGAGTTTGACTAATAAAATATACCAGAATATATTTAACCCTTTGTGGACTACTGGCCATTTAAGAAACTTTTCAATATTTCCTAATTTCACGAATTTTAAATAACGGATTTGTTCTTTGACTTAACAAAAAATTATATTTTTTAAAGAGTTTTTATACCCCTGAAGGGTATTATAATAGTCAGAAATTCGCAACTTTGAAAAGCAGACGTTTCCGACTCCATAAACTATATATATTCTTGATCAGCATCAACAGGGGAATCTTTCTAGATATGTCAGGAAGAAATCGATTTTTTGGCCATTTTTGCAAAATTTTATAAGGGGTTGTTACATCATTAAAATTAGCAAAAATGCCCAAAAATTTTGATTTCATAAAATTTTAAATTTGGTATGCAGTTTTTTTAAATTAATAAAAAATAACACAAAACTGCTTTCCGAATCGAAATTAATGCATTTTTGGCTTAGTTATGATATATTTTAATTGTTACCTGCAAGGGTATACAAACTTTGGCTGGCCAAAGTTAGCTTTCTTTCTTGTTTTATCTCATTTGGGAGATATGTTCATTTTGTATTAATTCAAAATTTCTGTTTAATGTTTAAAAATCGAACGACTATATCATAGCATATGAATGATCGGCAAATGTAGAGAAAAACTATAAAAATAAAAATATATAAATATGATCTAATTAAAAACTGCAAGGGTATACAAACATAGACGTGCCATACTTAGCCTTTCTTTGTTAAATATCAAACAACAAAATATAACAACTGTTCTAGCATGTATAGCATAAAAATCTATCTTATATTATAGCCTTATATATATACCAGGGGTGTTAGTTGAAGTTTGCCGGTTTTACTGTTGATGCCGCTAGCCGTACTATATACATTTGTATCATTCGGCATATGTGTCATTTTTATACCCTTGCAGGGTATTATAATTTCAGTCAGAAGTTTGCAACGCAGTGAAGGAGACGTTTCCGACCCTATAAAGTATATATATTCTTGATCAGCATCAACAGCCGAGTCGATCTAGCCATGTCCGTCTGTCCGTCCGTCTGTCCGTCCGTCTGTCCGTCTGTCCGTTTCTACGCAAACTAGTCGCTCAGTTTTAAAGCTATCTCAATGAAACTTTGCATATAGTCTTCTATATGCTCTCACTGCTATATATGTCGGAACTGGCCGGATCGGACGACTATATCATATAGCTGCCATACAAATGTTCGATATATTTTTAGAAAAAAAATTATAACTTTGCTGTTTTTTAACATTTTTGCACCATTTTTTAGATATGACCATTTTATATTATTTCTGAATTTTGGTAAAAATTTTATGAAAATCGGAAGACTATATCATATAGCTGCCATAGGAACGATCGGGAAATTAATAGAAAAAAAATTATAGATTCGTTGTTTTTCAACGTATTTTCATCTACTCTGGGATATAAGCTTATTTTATTATTCTAGAATTTTGGTATAAATTTCAAAAAAATCGGACATCTATATCATATAGCTGCCATATAAACCGATCCGTAGATGTATACAAAATGTAAAGCTGGGAATGCAAAACTGTAACTGTCAAACTGTAAACATAATAAGTATAGGTAAAATGTAATGAAATAATATCTGCAAGGGTATACAAACTTCGGCGTGCCGAAGTTAGCTTCCTTTCTTGTTTTCTGTTGACATTATTCTAAAGAAATACACAAGTCGCATTCCGTCAAAATAAAAACATCATACTTTTTTACCTTAGTGAGTTTGTCGAGTTTCGTTCCAAGTAAATCGAATTTGCGGGACCCATGTGATGTCGTGAAATTCAAGTTATTAAAACCTTGGTAAAATTGTTAAAAAGGATCGCTACCGATAACAAATTATCAATTTGAATAATACGTTGATCGAAAAACGGCCGGAATGGGCCCGAAAACATGGCAAAGTTATCTTGCAACATGACAACGCGCCGTCTCATACCGCTAAACTGACGAAGGACACACTGAAAGGACTTGATTGGGAAATATTATCGCACCCGCTGTACTCTCCAGACCTCGCCCTGTCCGACTATCACCTTTTTGCATCAATGGGACACTCACTGGCAGAGCAGCGCTTCGCCAATTTTGAAGAAGTCGAAAAATGGCTCGTCGAATGGTTTGCCTCGTAAGAAAAAAAAGTTGTTTTGGAATGGTATCCAAACTTTGCCTGAAAGATGAGCGAAATGTGTAGAAGCCAACGGTCAATACTTTGAATAACAAATTTTTCACATTCTCTTGAGAATTGAGTGTTTTCTTTATCAAAAAAACCGGCAAACTTCAACTAACACACCTGGTATACCGTCATCTATTTGTGATTTCACAGTTACTTGTTCTATTTTTCAATAGTGAACGAACGAAGATAAATAAAAAGATCCTTCTAAATAACAACTTTTTGTAGTACCCTTTTTTTTATCGTTCTACTGGTGGACTTACTGGGTATAGTTGTAACCAGCTTCCCAAAAGGTAACTCAATTTCCTGTTTGTATTTTTATATTTTAAAACCAAACCTTGTACAAGTTGCATTTAGCATAAATAACATTAAGAGAATGCTGAACTACTGGAGGAAAAGTGATCGCCGCCTTAAAGCAGTCCAAACAGGTAATAGAGGACGGGCAGAATGAGGGCTCCCTTGGCGGCAGAAATTCCAGTGATGCCAACGACCAGCTTAAAGATTCCATACCAGAAGCTGAGCTGCAGGGCCACATGGAGACCCAGAAGGCTGTTGGATATAAGCTTTAGTACCTGTGTTGTGATTTCTACCCTTTCGATACTCACATTTTGTCCTTGCGACGTGCCTTTTCCAGATTCTTGGGCGGCTCCTTGCTGAGGTACTGGCGCACTCCCAGAATCGTATTGCTGAAGTAGTCATCCCATTTGAGCTCTCCAATATCAATAATGAACTTCTTCTTGTCCACGGGATTCATTGCCTTGGAGAGCGCCAGCAAACGTTTGTTGTCGAAATGCCATTCCGTGAAGATGAAGCGTTCCAGGGTATTCAGGGAGTTCCAAACGTTTTTGTGCAGACGAATCAGGCTGTATTTAAAAAGAAAGCATAAGAAAAACAAGGTAATTTTAATATTTAAATTATTTTAAGAAACTTTATATCTTTTTAAGAGTTGAAAATATTATGTTATATATGTTATAAACCCTACTAAATGTTATTCCAATCAATTTATCGGTTTTATATAATTATTTTAGGTTTTAAATAGTATCTATAATAAAAACTTTCTGTTCATTTTATCAAAGCTAACAAATCTGCGTATCCCATTATAATAAATTGGGCTTGAAAATAAATTATAAACTGAAATTTTGGCAAACAAGAAGACGAGGTAAAAGTTCATAAAAACCCAAAATTTGCAACATAATTTGCAATGCAAAAACCAAGTTTAAGCTTCTTTATATCTTAATTAAAAACCCCCCTCAACTAGCCACTGTTTTTGTAGTACTTTCACCATATACATAAATCATGCCGCTACTCACATCGGTCTGCCGCCTCCAATCTTCGTCACCAAATCCAGAATCAAGGCGGGAACAAAGTGGAAGAGAATGGCGCCCAGGCGGAACACCCAGAGGCTCTTGACGAAGCGCAGGTTGGGATACCACACGGCACTGTTCAGTGGATAGTCGTGCAAATAGCCATTGATCTTGTCGGTCATCAGCTCAAAGCGGAAGGGCTTGTAGGTACTGGAGGTCAGGTGGAAGATCTGCAGATCGTCTGGGCGGCCGCCATTCTTAGCCTGCAGAGCGTGGACATAGTAGCCGGTGGTTATGATGCCATTGACCACCACATCGATGGGTATGTAGTCCATAATGATGTTGGGATCCAAGGGAAGGCGACGCAGTACACCCTTGGAGGCGCCCATGAAGAAGCCCTGCGGTCCATTCTTTGAAATGGTCCATCCGGGAATGGGTTCCTTCCAAGCGGCGGTGACTAAGTAAGAGGATGAGTATTAGTTTATGGAGAAGCTAGCAGGTCTGCTTCAATGGACACTCACTCATGCTGGGACGGACAATGCCGCAGGGGAATTTACTGGCCACATTGGCCACCTCGTGCTCGGCCAAGTGCTTGGTGAAGGTGTAGGTATTGGGGTGATCCTTCATCAGTCTGTCAAAGATTATCCATTATAGATTGGTTAATTTATCATCAAATCCCAACTCACTTTGGTTCCAGTTCCTTGAGGGCATCATCGTTGAGCGTCTCTGCCAGCTGGATGATCTTTTCGGGATCTTCAGGCGAGGGATACAGCTTCTCCTCGACCTCGGTTAAATATGCGTTTACATAGGCGCTGGACACATGGACCAGGGCATCCAGCTTCTTTAGCTGCGTGCACAGCTCCACCACTCGCCTTGTGCCCCTCAGGTTGATGTTAGTGGTCTCTTTCAGGGATTGGAAAAAGTCCAAAGTGGCTGCCGAATGGAAGACCACATTCACATTGTCGATCAGGATCTGGCGATCCTTGGGCGAGATGCCCAGGTTTTCCAGCCCCACATCGCCCTCGATCGGAACGATCTTGGAAAGACGTGCCTCCAGCTGCAGCTCCTTGAACTTATCAAACACGGAGTTCTTCTTGAGCTCCTCGAGTCGCTCCTGGACATTCTTGCCCTTCTTGGCCCGCATCAGCAGGTAGAGTGTGCCCACGTTGGGTACATCGCGTAGGAGTTTCTCCACAATGGTGACGCCCACGAAGCCAGTGGCGCCCGTAATGAACACATTGCGTCCCCCGTAGAATTCTGTGATGGGTGAGCTGCAAAGACGCAGAGTATTTTCCAATTAGTTGTGCCCGCCTTCTACATATGTTTATGCAACTACCAGCGACTATATCTATAGATGTCTCACAAAAAAGATTAACCAAACTTTCTCTCATCGCCCATTCAAATGGGCAAATGCCGTTGCTTACGACACTCGTTCACCCATAAAAAACCTCCGAGGGAGAGGGCATCATCTTCAACTGTGTTTGTCCAGCGGGAAACCAGTTTCCCCTCCCGGTGGACCCTAAGTTCTAAGTGCCCATTGTGTATGGATTCCTCTAATATTGATCTAACTAATGATTTGTTAGCAGGTGCCGGCTGGCGGGTTAATGCTGGCATTCAAATCCATGTCGTGGGTGTCGCCTCTGAATGCTGCTCTCATGGTACTTTGGAACGAGCACTCCACTGGAAACTTGTCTTGCGATTGAATAACTTGCAAATGAACTAGGGAAACTAAATAAGGGGGAGAGTACAGAAACTGGATGCTGGATGGATCACGTTCAATGTTAATTAAAAGCTAGCGATGCTAGTGATTTGAGGTCTTCTAAGATGGTTGTTAGTACTGGCCTTTGATCTCCTGGAGACCTGGGTTTAGATCTAAGGTTTTGTAGTTGATTTATAGTTTATAAGGGGTCTTACTTTGTCTTATTCTATTATTAAAACTGCATTAATTTCTTAGCCTATTGATGCTAAAGATATCTTAGTATCTTTAGGTTGAAATAGGCTCTTTCAGAGCCGGAAGTTCCTTTTCTCAAGTACTACACCCAATAATTTCGATCGAATTACCAAACATAGGGGGATATACATAGTGGTATCTTTAACAAAAAACACGCAACCTGACCATTCAATTAGCCAACTTCATTTCTCTTTTAATGACCTCCATCACAGTTCGCTGTCTCCAGTTTTTTCTTTACCCCTTTTTTTTTTTTTTGTCATGCCAAATGATTTTATAATGACGATCATTGAAGATGATTTCTGTTTTTTTCATGTCTTTTATGTTTGCCCCCTCTACCCATGCGTGATATAATTCCTGCATAACAAATCACATTCGGATGGGAGCAAATAAATGCAACATTTCCTATTCCTATATTTGTGCATGCAAAAAAAAATAAAAACCGCAAATGCAAATTTTCTTTTGAGCAATTAAAGGAGGCCCTCGAGGTGGCAAACACCTCAAAATGTGATAAAGTGTGCAGTTGAAGCTTTTGCAGGTGCTTATGTATGTTTACATGCCAGAAAAAAAGGCAAGTCATCGTTTTGGCCAGGCTTACAGCTCAAGAGCTTGCTTTAAAGCCAACTAAATGAAGCTTTCACTTTGTGGCTAGCAGATTGGCAACGAAGGGAAGGCAAACGAAAGGGACTACAGGTAGGTGAACCCAATCAAGGCAAATGGCTAATAACTTATTGGACAGATTTTTAGCTTAAAATGCTACCCGCTGTTTTGCTCATTTCTCTCTTTTTGGCCAAGTTTTAAGGCTGCAAATTAACTTTCTTATCAGTTGGAAATCAACTGCCTGCTTCTGAGATTAGATTTTCCATTGACCAGTCACAGGCTTATCTGGGATAATTAAGTGAAACGATTTATGGTGGCAGTGCTACTTGAAATTTGTTTCAAATTAGGTTTTGGTTTGCCTAGAAACGTGTTTAAGATTAAATAATAATGGAAATAGTTCTTAAATTATTAAAAATATTATTATTATTAAACACTTTGCTAAGTAATTAAGTTTTCTAGGTAATTTCCTTTATAAATTTTCATTGTTTAACATTTTTTAAAATTAATTTTCCAAATATGACGCTTGAAAGCTTTAACGGAAAATAACGCTGGAAAACTGTTGCATAATTCAGTAGCATTCATTGGCAACAGTTTACCGCATTCCTTAATTGCTGGCGTTAAGAACCACTATATCATTAGCTTGCATAAAAACTTAACTGCTCGCTTGGGCACCTCGGGGCCATTAAGGCACTCGACTTTGGGTAACTGACCTTACCAACTGCATCCAACCTTGTGCCGGGACATAAATCTCTGGGCAAATTATTATTTATGATGCCGTGTTCCGAAAATATTTAGCAACCTGTCAGGATCTTGTTTCCCTTCGGCTTCTTTTGATTTCATTTAACCTGTAATTTTCCGCTCGATTTCCAGTTTAACTATTGAGGTCTTGTTATTGCATAGGGATTACTAGACATGTCAATGTTAGGGCGAAATAATTGATATGTTAATCCTATTTGCATTTTATTCTCACATTTAGGTGGCTTACAAAAATTTTCCATTGTTGATGCTAAGGGAAGTTAAACTTTCCAGGTGAGAGATTCTCGGGCTGCGAAGAAAGTGTCGAGCGAGTGGCAGTTAATTATATAGTATATAGTCAAACTTGAGCCCTGATCTGACAGTTAAAAAGGTCGTAGAGGTACGGAATATATGTAGGTATATACATATATTGTTTACCTAGGTAATATCTAAAATTAAGTAAGTGAACTTCAACAGTCAAAACCATAAGATAAAGAATAGTTTTGAATAAGATTTTAAAGTTTTTCTTAATGGAAGTAAGATCACAAGGGAGCTAGGCTCTAATTGAAGTCTTTAAAAAAAGAACCTCACCACTCTTAAGACCTTCTTTATATGCCTGATGATTAGTTTGGCTTAAAATCCACTCTTAAGATTGGAATTACCTAATATGAACATGAACTTGGAGCTCTAAATTACAAATTAAAAAAGATAAAGTATCTTTGAATACCAATCTTCAACAATTTGTGCTAGGAAACATCTACAACTTTAGAATTTTGATACTAAGCCTGTACTTTGCATACGTATCTCTTGCCAGATTTTTGTCGCATTTCGAACTTTGCACCGCATTTCTAACCTCACAAATGACACCCGAAAGCGGAGAAAAGAGAAAAAGCTGCTGACTGAAAGCGGTCAGACGGGCTACCAAAATTAAATATACCACTAAAGATCACAAAAACACCGTTGTTTTGCTGTAGAGTTTAGCAATAACATACACTTACCTGGCCATGGTTACTCAGCAGGTGTGGTTATTGCCAATAATTCTGCCAGCCGTTGCAGTTAGCCGCACGATTTGGTTATTTGTTTCAGACTAGCAAGACTTGGCTTAGAACGTCGAAATTTCTCTTTTCCACGTATTTTCTTCTCTCTTACTGCCTCTTCTTCGTTTTCGTTTGCTTCGTCTCCTTTCTTTCTACATATATATCTCTTACTCCGCTGCCTTTATTGTTGTTGTTGCGATGCGACTGTAAACAAAGTACAAACACCAGTGCAACTGCACGTGTGAGAGTTACGCCGCCTGTGTATCTGAGTATCTGTGTGAGCGATCTGCGATCCTACGAATTGCTCCGATATCCGAACGTTTGCCGGCAAGAGTAAAACTTCAACTGAATGTCTGCCCGCTGAATGGCCACGGAAATGTGCTCGGCTGCCAGGCCGGATCGTCATTATCACGATCGTCAGTCGGGCAAACCAGTTATTCAGTCAAAAATGTTGTTGAATTTTTATACACTATCTGAGAGTCTTATAATTTGAGTCAGATGTTTGCAAGTGAAGTATAAGATACATAAGATATTCTTGATCAGCAACAGTTGAATTGATCTACGTAAACTAGTCTCACATATAAAACTTGGGCTTTCTGATATATATATTCTATATTATAAATGAATTAATAGAACTCTCTAATTTTATTTTATAAATTTTTTTAATTCAGTAGAGTAAATTGGGCCTTATGTGAAGTTGCTTTCTTACAATATGAATACGATCGTTAAAGTTAATTTTCAAAGAGAGTTTGCAACAATATATATGTATACATAGAGAGCGAGAGAGCGAGAGAGAGAAAGTTCAAGAGATAACTATTAAGGTCACAGTGAACTCCCAGAGAAGTGAACAGATTTTTAATAAATTTTTAAATCCAATTTATTATTTCTTAAAAAATTTAAGGTCCTGGAAAATTACTCCCAATACTTGTATTTAACTTTTTGATCAACTTCGGCACTTTATAATTATTTATATGTTTATAAAAAGTATCTATAGATGCTAACTATAAACCATTTTGTGATTAGTCCTGGCAATTTAATACCTTTAACAGAAGGAAACATTCAGGAAACACCCCTAAACTAATCTATATAAATTAAATAGTCATACTATATAGATGTATCCCCCAAAGGAGGTTTAATATTGTCGGTTGTATCGGGAATTCACTGTTTTTTCGATTAACAAGTTTCTTCTCTCTTTTAAAAGCGCCACTTTCGGAAGTTTTAGAAACTAGTAAATTGCTCAGCTCAGAACGACGTAGAAATCCGTAAGATACTCTTGTAAAAGTAGTGTAATAATGTATAAGATATGTCAAATCCGTGTAAAAATATATAGAAACCTTACTTTATAGAGAGAGTAAGGTCCTTGTAATACCAGTATACTATATTCCTAATCAGGGTCGGTCCTGGAAATATTTATATATTTTACTAACGAATCTTTGACAACTCTAGTAAGGTAACCAGGTTCAAAAACCCAAAAGTTGTTTCAGTCAATTGAAAGATTGAATCTTTTCCACGTTATTCAACCATAATCCCAAATAAAAACACTTTTCCAAAGATTTTCCTTAACATTAAAATCATATTTATTGGAATAATAGTTACACATTTAAAGTTTAGTTCTCGTATTCTTCGACTATTTGACTATAAACCGGATAATTATGACAACAATGTACAAATCCTTCATTAGTTTAACATTTAGTGTTTAGTTAATGTGACTAAGTTTTGGGCTACTTTTGCATTGCTGTGTGAATAGATAGATTCGTATCTAGTGTTGCTCTGATAGTTAGTTAGTTTTTATTATATTACAACTCTTTGTCTGACTTGTACTTGGCTTGTGTGAATAGACTTAAAGATAAAATACATGATACCCTACTAAGAACAAACTACGGATGGAAACGAACAACCAAGTGCAGGAGCATTGGAGATTGCGCTCGAAATATTGCACAATCCAAAGTCTGGCGATGCACGAGTCCAGGCTACAACCATACCAGGAATCCCCAGATCAGAACCGCCAGCGTAAGACCAAGCTGGAGGCCCAGGGAAAAGGTCAGTGAAAAGTACAGGACGGCGAAGATGACAGCATAGCCCGCATAGTAGAGGAAATTAAAGCTAATGGGAAAACAAAATAGTAATCAGATACGATTTTCATACAGAGCAAAGTATACTTACACCTTCCAGTAGTTGCGATGCCATTCTGTGGTCACTGCCGACTCCTTGAAGTAGAAACGCCGAATGCCAATCAGGCAGCGATCGATGAACTCGGACCAATCGCACTGGCTGGCATCGAAATTATAGCGTCTCCGATCGCTTTCCGGTATTAAAGCTGAAATGCGCAGGGCATTCTTTAAAGAGTAGCGGAAGTCCTTGTCCAGAAAGTAGTCGAAGGCCTTGGTGCCCTTCTGGAACACCCGCATGTACTCGTAGGCCCTGTAAGATATCATAAATATTATTATTATGGTAAAAGTTAAGTCTATAAATCTGTATCTTACGTGTGCTGTGGCATTCCAATTCCGAAAAGCTTCTCTGGTATAATGAAAACCATCGCTGGCAGCAAATGGAAAAGATAGAAGAATAGATTGTAACGCCAACCATTGCGCAGTTTCGTCGCAGGCTTCCATACGAAACTATTGGGCGGATGCCGCTCCACGCTGTCATTGATGATTGTACAGAACTCGGAGAGGGTCAGCGGGTTAACCTCCCCGGAGGTGCAGTGGATGATCTCCGGTTGCTCCAGCTTCCGGGTGCCCACGTACCAGCCCATGACCAGGGATGAGTTGATCACATAGTCGCATGGTATGATGTCGATCACAGCATTTGCACTTCCGCACATCGTTCGGAAGATTCCCTTCACGAAACCGGCGAGGAAGCCGAGATGACCAGAGTTTGCATTGCCCACCCAGCCCTTCATTGGGTGCTCCAAGGTACCATAAACTGTAGAGCAAGAAATTGAGGGGTTAATTAGTTACTACACTTTTTTGAAAACGGTATTTAGCCCCAAGTTTTGTTTAGGGTTATCTTTTTATAGTTAAATATTGAAGTATTTTAAACCTTAAGTAACCCGACTTAATTTTGTAATTTAAACTTAAAAAGCAACAAACTAAACAACAAAAGACCACTTTCTGGCATCAGTTAAGCTGCCGTATAACAACATAACGTGTGAAAACAACCATGTTGTCCAGTTATAATCAATTAAAAACACTGTACGTGTCTATTATCGTCCTATGAAAGTGGCTGTTGAGTTTTCGTCAAGTGCCGAACTTTGATTATATGGCAAGATAATCTTAGGCTTAACCACAGCTATTATGTTGTGTAAACAGGTGGAGAAACCCGCTTTAAGCGACTTACCAATCGATGGCCTGACTATGGCTGCTGGCAATCCGGACATTTCGGCCATCAGCAGATTTTCGGAAAGATTCTTGGTAAACGTATACGTATTGGGATGATCCCGGATATAACCCTTGCACTTCTGATCAGTGAAGTCCTCCCAGGCAGCATCGTCCTCGGCCATCTTCATCATCTCGTACGGATCGAATTGTGACTTGTACACTTCCTCGGCAATCAGGCCGCGATTATTGCTATTACAGAAGGCCGTCGAGCAGTAGATGTAGGCGGAAAGCTGTTTCAACTGTTTGGCCAACTCGATGGTGCGCATGGTTCCCGTGAGATTGGTCCGAATGGCGGTGCGCAGCGGAGAGCTGAACTTGATGGTGGCTGCACTGTGGTAGATCACATTGACGCGGTCAATAAGCTCCTGCAGGAGCTCGGGAGCAAAGCCAAAGTTCGGTTCACTCAGTTCTCCTACAACAGGGACCACCTTGGCCAGGGTTTTCTCCGAGTACTTTTCAAAAATCTATATTTAATAAAGGGACATTTAAATATATTTGCATAATTAGATATTTAAATTAATAGTATCTATATATATTTCCAGTGTACTTTCGGTTGTAAGAAATTAATGACTCCACGGTCGAAAGGTGGCTTGGTAAATATCCACGCCCACATTAAGCCGCACAAATTTTGATTGTTAGCTTTGAGAGTTAAGTGTTTTCTTCTCTTGTACTTTAGCCTTTTTTTTGTGAATAAAATACTAACAGGTAAGCAATGTCTAAAAACAACAAAGCATTTGCTTTTAACTGCTTTTGGTTACGCCATTAAAAATGCGTTTAAAATATAATTAACAATATGTGAAGAGTCTCGTAAGGAGAAAGAGCAAACAGAATAGAAGGTTTGCGCCGAATTGGATGCTCTTTCAAGTAAATTATATTGTTTATATCTTAAGTTATTGTATTATTTATATTATATCATATTCAAGAGACAAGTTTTAGCGAAACAATAAAATTTACAAAAGAAAATCTCTTAAGAACTATATAACAAGAAAATAAATGTTAACGACACGAAATTCCTAAAATAATTATTAATATTATTATTTCTGGCATTATTTCTACTATTATTCTATAAAGCGTAACCCATATTCGTTGTCAAAATACAAAAATAATTAAAAAAGAAACTAAAAACGCCGCCGATCTCGGCTCACAACGGAAGAGGTCGTTTGAGGTGAGATGGCGACTTGGACAAATTAACGCTTCATAAAAAGCCTCGTAATTGGCTTTAATGACATGCCCTGTCGCCCTCGGGGGCGCAAATCCATGTCAATGGGGCGTGTCCCGCAACGCCACTAGACTTACCGGCTTTTGGAGCAGACGACGAATCCGCTCGTTCGGATCGAACTTGCGCTTGCCCCGCACCAGGACGTAAATGGTTCCAATGTCCGGATGTGTGTCCAGCAGAGCTTCAATCAGAACAGTGCCCAAAAATCCAGTGCCACCGGTGAGGAAGATATTTTTGTGGGCAAAGAACTCCGGAATTGTAAGAGCCGTTGTCAGCTGTTGCCGCTGGGTGGAACCGTTCATCCGGAGCTTCCCGTTCGCCACTATTCCGGTGTTGTTGTTCTCCGTTGGGCAGTCGGAGGTGGAGTTGGTGCCGCCATGTTCCGTGATGACAGCCATGGTGTAGGGCTCGAGATTCGTCGGCGGCGCCAATTTGCTGCTGAGCGTTGGAATCGGTTGGGGCAAGCTGCAGGAAATACAAGAGAGACAAGGAAACGAGCCATGAAATCGCTTGGTTCACGTTCATTAGCCTAACAGTGAAGAGTTTAAAGAAAAAGAAAGATGAAGCCGGCTATCGAGGGCATTTTGACCGAGAAACCAGCTAGACGACACCTTCCTCAGTGTGTCAAGTTGAGCTGCGAGCGGAAGTGCATTATAAATCTGTTATCAAAATTAGATGGAAGTGGAGTGCACGTTGCGGTTATGGCTACCGGAAGGTTAGTGTCTAGACATTGCTCTAGACCTGCATATAATTAAGCTTTCCACACTTATTACTATTTTTATTTATCACCCTTTTTTTTAGTTGCTTTTTTTTAGGATGTGAAGTACACTTCAAAGGCAGACCGCTTGGGATTTCATGTAATCATGGTAATGCATCTAAAAGTTGGTAACAAAGGAAATGCTGCCAAAGAATCAAGAATTAAGAGGTTTATATAAGATTAACCTATAAATAATTTTAAAAAAATTATAAAAATCATGAAAGGATGAGGATCACCACACAAGCTTTACTTCTAAGTTATTGGAAAAAGCTGCTAAAAAATTAAGGTTTTTCAAGTGAAATATCTACATTTTAAAGACCTCTTAAGACCCTCTTTCAAGAGCCAGTTAAGACATCAAGTAGGCCCTGGATCATTGACCCCTTTTTCCCTTGTTCATCCAAGATAGCATTGACTTTTCATTCGATTTTGGACTGTCTAGGCGCCCACCTATGATAGTATTTCTAGTTTTCAAAGTCTTCAGTACACAAAATTTTTGGTCATTTTTTGGTGTTGAAAATTTATGTAACCACATAGTTTTGGCTTATTAAATTTTTAGTACGGAATCAAAATTATCAGTTTTTGTCCCTTCGAGGACACCGTTTTTGGCAATATGAATACTTTCAAGGTCGGCCGACTGGGTGCGACATACTGCTGGCGAATCGGCAGCCTAAACCGTCATGTCGTGCCTTCGTCCCGTCTCTTCCGTTGTCTGCAGAAGCGGCATTACACCAAACGCTATACCTTCGATGATTTGACCCAGTCTCGTATGGAAGCAATCTACAATTCGCCGAGCAATATTAAGCCTCCGCGCGAGAGTCCCTGGCGGGATAGCCAGGCGACCGACTTGAATGATATCGGATATGAGTCCCATTGCAATGATCGCTTGTACATGGCAAAGAACTTATACCGTCATTCCAAACAGGCGTATGAGCAAAAGCGACACGAGCGGCGCTTGGAGGCCCAGAAGAGGTTCCAAAAGCATTTCAATAGCGATCAGGAAAAAATAGAGAGCCGGAAGCTCAGCATTATGCAGAATCCTGCCGATCATCAGAAGCGGCAGACGGAAATTATCGAGATGAATCGCCGACGATGGCAGAGTCGGCCGGAAGCAAAAAGGGAAATCAATACTTCGGGCATCACATACCGTCCCGAATTCCAGAAACAGCTAACGAGTACGGAATATTCTGAATTCCAGAGGCGCCTGAAGAATCTCTTGGGAAGGCATAACGAAGCGGAAGAAGAGGACTTTCGCGTGAAAAGTCCCAGGGCGGAAGCAGAAGAAGAGGACTTTCGGGTGAAAAGTCCCAGGGCGGAAGCGGAAGAAGAGGACTTTCGCGTGAAAAGTCCCAGGGCGGAAGCGGAAGAAGAGGATTGGCGTATGGGAGGTCCGTCCCAATACTCTGCTCTTCAGAGGCGTCTCAGGACGCTAATGGAGGCTGAAAAAAACCCGGAAGAGGACTGGAGGGTGAAAAGTCCCAGGGCGGAAGCGGAAGAAGAGGACTGGCGAGCAAAAAGCCCGAGGGCAGAAGGGGACGTGGACTGTCCACCAAAAAGCCGGAGGCCAGAAGGGGACGTGGACTGTCCACCAAAAAGCCCGAGGGCAGAAGGGGACGTGGATTGTCCACCAAAAAGCCTGAGGCCACAAGAGTACTGGCGGATAAGAAGTCGGAGGCCGGAAGCGGAAGAAGAGGACTGGCGAGTGAAAACGAGGGGAGAAGCGGAAGACTTGTTCTGGAAGCTTAAAAGCCAGAGGCCAGAAGCGGAAGAAGAGGACTGGCGAGTAAAAAGCCCGAGGGCAGAAGGGGACGTGGACTGTCCACCAAAAAGCCTGAGGCCACAAGAGTACTGGCGGGTAAGAAGTCGGAGGCCGGAAGCAGAAGAAGAAGACTTTCGGATAAAAAGCTGGAGGCCAGAAGCTGAAGAAGAGGACTGGCGGCAAATGAGAAGCCGGCCTACGGGTTCCAGCCTCCAGAGACGCCTCATGGAGCTCATGGAGGCTGAAAAGAAACCAGAAGCCGAAGAGGAGGACTTGCGCGTACAGAACCCCAAGGCGGAAGGCGAAGGAAAAAACCCTAGGCCCGAAGCGGAAACGAAAGCGGAAGCGGAAGATAGGGCGTGGAAGGCTAGAAACCTTTCGTTGGTCTTCGATCCAAATCAACCCTCCAAGTCCGGGCAGAAGAAACGCGATCAGGATGTGGAATCGCAGTACTGGCACTCCTGGCACACCTGTCCCGACAACCAGGAGGCGGAGACCACCGTGCAGCTGAAGCCCCATCAGCGCCGCAAAAAAATTACGATCCATCCGCCATCCTATACACGCGGCGGCCAGAGGCGTAGCTACCACCAGGCAGCCCTTTATCCGCAACCCATTGAGGCACAGCCCGAGCCGCTGTCCAACGCTCCTCTGATGCCGAAGCCGCTCCGTGCCATCCCCAAAAAGGAGAAGAAATCGAAGCCCAAGCGCAAACGTGAGCGCAAGCCAGTAATGCCGCCACGCTTCAAGATGACCATCAAGACTCGCCTGGCGGTTACACGCAGACCCACGCCCGAGCCCAGCACCTTGCGGCGTCTCAACATACCATCAGAGGTGGCAGGACCTAGTTTTCATATGGCCAATCTTCCTAACTCTTTCTTGAACGGCTGCCTTGCAGGCTAAGAACCTTTTTGGAAACTGAAAATTGGGAGTTGAAGTTTGTTTTAAATTAATATCAACCGGGCTTGGTGAATTAACGTTATACCAACATGTACCTTTTTTTTTTAAGACAAATTCAATTAAACAAGATTTACTAAACAATGAGCATAAGGATATTAATATTTTAATGTAATCAACGACAAAATATATAATACATTACCAGTAAGGGCCGATTTTTCAATGTCAGGTTAAATTTTGTCATCAAGGAAATTTTTTTGGAAAAGATTTAAGACTTGTTTATTTTAAATAAAATTACCCTGACATTGAAAATCGTTCCAAAAGGTTTTGAATTTCCACAGAAACTGATAAAGGGAACAGTAAAGGGAAAAATCTTCCCACATTTCTGTTAGTTTTCCGTTGACTTATTCACCGGAAGAAAGCGTGCCTTGTTAGTAAACAAGTGTAAATAAATGGTAATTATTTCTGGGAACTCAGTTGACGAGTAAATAAAACGTCACACGTCTATTCACATAGCCAGCAAGGTAATCGAACGTTACCTGTAATTACAGGTAAAACTATAACGGGGTTCACCTCTGTAATTCTAAAGTAGTTTCTGAAGTACAATTATCATAAGTAAATACATATAATTTATGCCTGCTGATAGGAAATAATCTTTTCCTTTCCATTAAACCCTTTGTTGCACTGCATTTTAAGAATATTATAGCTCACCAACACTACAGACTTAATTGGTGAATTTCCTGTGCATTATGCACCTAAACTTTCCCACAATTAACTCTAATTAACCTCTTACACAAATCACCAAATTGATTAGAGCGGCTAAACCCAAGGGTAATTAATACCACTTTAAAGAAACTTTCGACCCACCGCCACACTTTCGATCCCAAAACTCATGGCCGTTGCCCAACACTGTTAACTGTACTTTCCCGCTGCCCAACTGCCAAACCATTCACAAGACCGCCTTTTGTTAGCTCCAACCAAAGTCACAACCATCAATAGCTCGACTAATTAATGGCAAATGACGCGTATATCCGAAAAAAAAGAAACCGAAAAATAAAAAAGAAATCAAACCAAGGTATAAGATGTAGTTAGATCTCACAAGGAGCGCGCGGCTCTGCGCGTTGTCCAAGCTCTTTGTACAGGTGTACACAGGTGGAAAAGATAATTAACGAAATGCGTAACAATTTGTTGGAGGAGAGATTAATTTTGAACATTTTCGTGTGACTCGATCGGCGCTTCCAAATTTGTGTCAAGGCCGCCCGGCGCAGAGATCTCGAGTGGAGTTGTCCATTCGAGGAGGAGGAGGTGGCCATCCGTAGGCCCAGCAATATCTATCTATATACATATATTTGTTCATATATATTTGGAGTTTGAAGCCGGAACGTTTGGCTTAATGAAAATGCACGGTCACGGTCAAATCGCTGTCGATCTCTAGAGATCGTCGTGCTGCGGTTTCTTTGTATGCAGATGAACATCGATCTCTAGCTCTCCCTCAAAGTTGGTACGGAAATACAGATGTTATAGTTGCGCATTTCTATGTTTCAGCTAACACCAAAGCGCTAATTGATTCGCTTGTAATTGGCCAACTGACTGGTCCCAACAGCCTCGCAGAAAATAGAAACCTTCGTTGGCTTTTCCCTTCAACAATTTTCAGGCGCTGACTCAACACATTTTCGATTTTCGCTTTCGAGCAAAGTCTGCCATGTGGCAGTCTCCAGAATTATGCAAATTATAATCGAGAAGCCTGAGAGGTTCTTGGGATCTGAGACAGAATGCCGCCAGATCGGCCAGCATTGAACCAATCGAAGTTAACTGGTTTCGGTGTTTAGTTTTTAGTTTTCAGTTTTCTGTTGTCTGTTGCTCTTGGCCTGGCCCCCATCCAAATGATTTGCATTTCATTTCCTCAATCTCTGAGCCGAGTCTCCTCAACACATCGCCATTTTGGCCTGGGCCCAGCAACATTTTTGTCATATTTTCACGGCGTATTTGTAATACTTTTGCTTGGCTTCGTGGAGTTCTTCGTTGGATTGGACCAACAGGTTTTTAGCTTCGGGATAGACAGCTTGAGTTATTGATGGCTTCGAAGGGCTCCGATCAGATCAGATCAGATCGTTGAACTTGACATTGGTTTATGGGGCTTATTCTAAATTTGGGGCAAAGACCTTGTATGCTTCAAGATACAAATCTTCTTGATATATTGCTTAATTTGACCTTTGCCTAAAGCTATTGGTAAAAAGAATCGATAAGAATACGAATGGAAAAGTGTCTAGGTAAATCTTAATAACAGAAATTTAGAAATTCATAGCTAAATTAACCTTACTTTAAGCTCAAATCTATTAAAAATTAATTGAAATTTATAGATTTGTTTATAGTGCTTTTCAAGCAAACATTGCATTATCTTTTGTATGCCTTTTTAATCTTTTTTCAATTATGACACTTGAATATACATATTCGCCAAGCAAAATGCAATGAAGCGAGCTTAGAAAGAGCCTTTTGTTGTTGGGGTCTGAGGGTCTGTGCTCATCTCCTATTTTGCATTTTTACTAGAGAAGCACATGGGTCGCTATATACATAAACAAACACTTTTATACAGATATATATTTTTTAGAGATATACCCGTGGCCATTATATGCCCTAAGATTTGCATAATTTTGCTACGTCTGCGTTTAGCTTCGTTCGTAATTTCTGTTTAGACAAATGACTGAAACCCAGCTGGGTCTTTTTGCGTCGGAGTATGTGTACGCATATATGTATATAGCAGCAACTGTGTCTGCATATTAAATATTTGTAAATTTCTTTTGCAGCCTCTCTAAATGGCAAATATCAAATTCAAGCCCTAGGCATTAACTAAGCAAAAATTTAAAGATAGACCCTAATGAATGGTATAAGAAATTAGTCGAGAGACTCTCTTTCCCTGTTAGGGTATCCTCTAACTGTGACGAATTTTTGGGTTTTGTTTATGACTAAAGATCCATTTTGGTCACTTTCTATTTTACGATGAACACCAGATCTCTCTCATCTCGGCCCGAGCATTGATTTCTCTTCATGTGCTGTTATGATTTTATTTCATTCCATTCAATACGATTCAGATGCCATTTGAATTGATCGCATTTTTGCTTGATTTTTATTTTTTATATATTTCCGCCTTGGCAACCAAATGTGTAACAATAATTTTGTTTTGTTTATGCTAGGCACATGGACACTTTGTGCGACAACGGGGGAGGAGTGAGTAGGGGAGCGGTGTGTGCGATTCAATGCGCCATAAAAAACCCAAGAAGAGGGGGGAAAAAAGCATAGCGAACAAATCGCACTTGGGCTGGGCATTAGCATTAAATTGCTGTCTGTGTAGAGACCTTAACATTGAAATCCCCAAAAAAAAATAAACAGATACAAAGCGGGCTGATTGAACCTTTTATTTTGTCGAGATAATTGAGATTCCGTTCAATGGCAATCAAAAGACTCAAGCAACGAACTTTAAGGCATCTTGTTACTAGTTTTTTAAATTTTGATTGCTTGTTATCTTTATAAAAAAAAAACTGTACATTTAATATAGGAAATTTTTTTGATTTACAATCAAAAGACTGAAAAAACGAACTGGAGCTAGAATTGGGCTTTTTAGCTTTTGACAATTGGGTTTGGAATTTTACTTTTATTTATTTGTATTTCCAGACAAATTTTTGGCAAACCGGTTTGCGACATAAAAGTTCGAAGCTAGGCCACACTTAATAAAAATATAAATAATTATGAAGAATACGTCTGGCCAAAAAAAGAAGCCACGCGTCAAGTTTCCAGAATATAAAACATAAAATATTAATAAGAGCTACTACTGCAAGCCATCGGAAATCGTAAACAACATTCTGGCTCGATTTGTTTTGCTGCCCATGAATTTTCCAGCAAAGCCTGGAAAAACGTACTCACTCAGTTCGGTGTCGCGAAAAACTCAAGTAACTCAAGAAAAACACACTCTTGCACACTCACGCACACGGACTCACGCAAAGAGAGCGGCTGCGAGCGGCGAGGAAAACTGGAAAATCTATGAAAACAAACATTTAAGTGAAAATCAAAGAGCTAAGACAACGGCTGATTTTTCCGCAAACCAAACTAGCGAACGGCAGAAAAAAAACAACAACAACAACAACAATGATTCACTTTACACTTTTCTAAAACTAAACAGAACTCTTTCGTCACTTCCGCCTCGGATTGTTTGGCAATTGGATTTGGCAAACGCTATTCGCTGCGATCATTAGTTGTATTACTTCCACCGATTTTTCGATCGATCGATTGCACCACCCCGTGAGGGTTTCACTTTGCACTTGATTTAATGGCTCGGAGCACGACTTTGGGCAGATGCTAAGCCGAAGTGCAAACTGGCAAAACCGACTAACTGACTAACCAAGAGGAGATCGAAGGGGGAGAGGGCGGTCACTGGACGGCCACTGCGAAGGAGGTGGTGGATCGGTATATATCGGATCGGATCCGCTTTTAGCCAACTTGCTGCCAATGCCGACGCACGCTCACTGAAGACTGACTGTCCCCAGTCTCCATAGAGAGCTCTAGGGGGAAATAAGGCTGAAAAATCACTCACTCGTCACTGAGTCTTTCTGAGCTTCTAAGTCTCCGAGCCGCCGAGTTGTTGCCAAGACTTCGGGTCACGTAATGAAAATCGGAACAGAAAATAATCAAGAGCCAGGCCCGAACGGAGAAACAATAAACCCGCAAACTCAGCAGCAGCCAAGCAAAAATACAGAAACCGAAAACTCGGAATACAATACAACAAACAGCCCGCGAGAGAGGAGCTTTGAGTGGCCAGCGAAGCAGCGACTTGGCTTTGACTTTTTGGTAACTGAGACCGAGAAAGCTGACTCTCCAAATCGCGGCTATTGCTGGATATCTATTACGAGTGCGTGGTATCTTTTGAGTGGATCTGGCAATGCCTTTACGGCTTTCCGAGTGAGCCATAAATACGCGCATCAAACAGAAAGCACAAATCAAATGCCACATTGAATTATAGGTCTTAAAATATTTACCGAAAATCATCTTAAAATTGCTGTTTTAATACTCTCATTCATTAGGCAATTTCAGGCATAAGAAACTCTAAATTTGGATTGCTGTCTTTATTATAATTTATAAATTACTTTATTATCTGT